AAACTTTTGGCCCAGTGGCAGGGACCCTACGAGGTGGTTGAAGCCGTGGGGGAAGTGAACTATAAGGTGTGGCAGCCAGGTCGCCGGAAACCAGAGCAAATTTACCACATCAATCTTCTAAAACCTTGGCACGACCGAGAGGCATGCTTAGTCACCCAGGAGGCCCTTCCCCAAGTGGATAACCTACACGAGCAAGTGAGGATATCACCCAACTTGATGCCTAACCAAAAGGTCCAGGCAGCTGACATGATCAACCACAACTGAAACATGTTCTCTACGAAACCAGAGGGGATGACCGAGACCTATCACCATATCTGCATGATCCCCGGAACCAAGGGAACACTGAGACCTTACTGAATCCCAGCAGCCAAAAGAGAAGAGATCAAGGCCAAAGTGAAGAAGATGTTAGAATTAGGGGTCATTGAAGAATCTCACAGCCAGTGGTCCAGTCCAATTGTACTAGTGCCCAAACCTGACGGTACCACAAGATTCTGTATTGACTTTCGCCGACAATGAAATATCCAAATTCGATGCATACCCCAGACCATGCATCGACAAACTGGTTGACCGACTGGATAGTGCCCGGTTCCTGACTACCCTGGATTTGACAAAAGAGTATTGGCAGATTCCCCTGACCAAAGAAGCTAAGGAGAAGATAGCATTCTCCACCCCGGAGGTGCTATTCCAGTACACTGTCCTCCCTTTCGGGCTACATGGGGCTCTGGCCACATTCCAGTGCCTCATGGATAAGCTGCTGCGCCCCCATAGTAGTTACGCAGCTGCATACCTAGATGATGTCATCATCCATACACCAGACTGGGTAACCCACTTGGCGAAAGTTGAGGCAGTACTGCGCACCTTAAGGCAGGCTGGCCTCACTGCTAATCCTGCTAAATGCGCCATAGGGCTAGCAGAGGCTAAGTACCTGGGGTATATTGTAGGAAGGGGCATAGTGAAGCCCCAAATGAATAAGATAGAGGCGATTCAAAACTGGCCCTGGCTGACCTAGAAGAAGCAAGTCTGCGCGTTCCTAGGCGTAGTAGAGTATTACCAACGTTTTATTCCCCACTTTGCCACTAGGGCAAGTCCCCAAACGGACCTGGTAAAGGCCCGAAGTCAAGAAATGGTGAAGTGGACTGACTCTGCAGAGGGGGTGTTCACAGACCTTCAGAGAGCCCTCTGTAATGACCCCGTACTCATAGCTCCAGACTTTAACAAGGAATTTATTTTACAAACGGATGCTTCTGAGGTGGGGTTGGGGGCTGTTCAGTCACAAATGGTGAGAGAAGAGAAACACCCGATCCTCTACCACATGGCCAGTCCTGGTCACTAACAAACCCCGAAATCTCTCCACCAGCCTAACGTCCATAACCAGTCCACAGTGGGGCGGGTTTTTTCGTGTCTCTCAGTCAGAGTGTTGCTACTCTTGCACATTCAGGTGGCTCGCTCCATCTTCTGAAAAGACGTTTGGACGAGCGAGCTTCATCCCAGAAAACATGTCCCATTGCTTGTTGGGATTGCTCTCCAGATGTGGGTTTCACAGCATTCTCTGGGCCTGTTCCAGTGCCCAATAAAGCTGACCAAGTGCCCTTGGAAGGTGGCATCCACTGGATGTCCATTGCAGAAGTAGAAAGGGTCAAGCATAGGGGTGCCCGCCCACCCCTTCTTTGAGCCCCAGCCTTCCTCTGAAATGGTTTTGTTATACCCCTTCTCCAGGACAAAGCTGACTGATAGAGATGTTGCTATTAACCAGGGGGACTTACACCTGTTCTAGAATCCCTGTAACAGCTATTCTGGCACAAGAAGCCATTATGCAATGATGAATCAGGCCTATGTCTCTTTCCATTGCTCCATAACACTTCAGGACATCTGCACCTGTATTTCCCCTCAGTGATCCAGCAAGGTCACCCACTTTTAGGCTTCCAGCTTCCCCATTGCCTTTCTTGGGTGGAGTCCCTCCCTTTCTGACCAGGGTATCTTCCAGCAGCATAGTTCCCTGCCTTCACGGTGTTGTTCCCAGCACAGCCAGGCTGCCCAGGCAGGCCCGCTTGCTTTCTCTTCAGAGACAGTTAACAGGTGTAATTGCTACAGTTATAAGTTACCACACAGGTCTTTGTCAGCAAGCCTACTTAATTCTTAAGGTACAAAGCACTACAGAGAAAACACATTCAAAACAATAAAAGAACCCATACACATGCTAATAAGCTCACCAGAGTTCACCCTATAGTGGACACTGGCAGGAGCAGTTCTTCAACCCCCCCCATGCTAGGGGTTTCCTTGTGGTTAAAAGTTCATCACAGCTCCAGCTCAGAACAAGCACACCCAGTCTTATGGGCCTCAGTAGGCCCAGTCCTTCCAACCCTTCTCGAAGGATTGGGGCCCTCCATGAACCAGGGGTCCTGTCCATTGGCTGGATCAGGAAGAAGGCCCTGAGCTTGTATAAAATCAGCCTATTTACATCTAAAACTCCTTTCTTGGTCTGTTGGTCTCTGGAGAATCCAGTTTGAACTACCCAGGTGTGTGTGGCTTCAGTGGGCTGATAATGGAGGAAGTACATTACCATCCCCCTTCTACTGGGAGTTACATGTAATGCCACAACACAGACACAACTGCATTTTTAATACGATGTACCCCAAAGGTAATAACCCTAATTCAATCAGGTGTAACTTAATTCAATATACAGCAGTTTATCTTAGTTCTATAAGACACATTCCGGATATTGTCCGTCTGTCACAGTCCCCATCTCATTTTTGTGTCAGAATGACTCAAAGCTATCTATAAACTCGCTGCTGCTTCTTTAGACGTTCAGCACCCCAGCAGTTCATTTTTTGAAAACTTTTAACTTTTTTAAAGCCTCTCTTTCCACCTTGGCTGATGTAGGATTCAGTTCGTGAGTGTTGCAGACCCTGAGAACTGCATTTTTTTTTTTACCCTGCAGTCCTTTCCACTTTAATAGAGCTCAAGTGGTCTGACATCGAAGGAACAGGGCAGTTTTCGAAGTTCCTTTTTACTAATCCGGGTTTGAAATCTCCATTTTCATGCACTGATGGAAGAGAAGACAGCCACTGATTCAGGCTGCGATTGTCACTGCCACCAAAGGAACTTAGACACCCAATTTTCATGAATGGCAATGGAGAGTGTGTATCCGAAGTCCCTTGAAAATCTCAACCTTTGTTCCTTTAAGACAATATCCCATGTTTTTAGAGCAATCTGAGCCCCTTCTACTCTCTTCTCCCCTACCCGTTCCCCCTGATCCCCCCTTCTTTTCCCTTATCTTTCTGTTTAAGATACCTCCTCCTAAGTAAACTCCTCCCACCAGCCCCCCTGCCAAAAGTATGGGACTAACATGACATTTGTTTCCCTCACCCTGTGTCTGGCTGGTCTATTTAAATTGTGAGATCTTTGGAGCAGGGACTGTTTGCTACTCTGTTTGTACAGTGCCTAGCACAATGAGGCCCTGATCTTGCTTGACCCTTAGGCCCTACCATAGTAAACCTGATTAATAATAATAATAGCTATAGGATGAGGCAATAAAGAAACTGGCCAATATATTTTTCTCTCATCCAAATCCCTTTGCCCAGCTTTACACTCAGCGACACTAACTGCTCAGTGGCCACTCAGGGTTTTCCCTTTTTATGCTGTACCCAATACATGGCTGCTTTTAAGTGATGGACTGGTAATAGGGACAAACGTAAGGCCTGATCCAGCATTTATTGCAGTCCATGGAACTATTCCCATTGGTTCCAGCTGGCTTTGGATCAAGGCCTTCAGGAAGTGGGAATCCACCTAATTTAGTTGGTTTATAAAGGGTCAGATCCAGTGGGAGCTTTTCAGGCCCCCAAACACTGGATCAGGCCCCCAGCCCTTGGCTCCAGGCTTCCCTTCCCACAGCCACATACAGAGAAATTTTACTCTGCAGACTTTTCAAAAACTCATACAGAATTTCTAAAAGGGAGAATCTGAAATAGAAAAAGATCCTCGGAAGCAGCTTCCCACTGCTTAAAGGCAGCACAACATTATCAGTTCATTTCATTTCTCCCCGTCTCGTTCTGCTCTCCATTACAGTGACATAAATTCAGAGCAATTCCTGTGGACTCCAGCGGAACTATTCCAGATATACCCCAGGACACCAGAAAGCAGAATTTGCCCAGGTTGATTACTGAAGTTGCTGTTCGTACAATTGATCTGATGTTTCCCCTGCTGAGCGTATTGCTGTGGCTAATGCTGCTCTGGAAAAGATTTTTGACTGTATTCTTATAAGCTTCCTGCACATTAGGTGCGAATAATCCGTGCAGAACGACACGGCAGAGCCACCAAGCCATTATTCAAAGTCCAGATAGTTTCATCTATTTCCTCAACATATTTCTTAGTTAATGCGGGTATTAAGAGATGTCTTAATATTTTGGGCCAGATACTCAACTGGTGTAAATCAGTGTAGCTCCACTGACTTCAGTGGAGTGGTGTAATTTACACTAGCTCAGGATCTAGCCCTTTGACTTTTATTTAGATTAATCCCATGTAACTGTTTTCCCCTCGCTCCTGTCGTGTACCATATAGATTAATGTCTCTCCATTAACTGTGCATTAGCCATTTTAGGTGCCCAGCATGGTCTTTATCTAACTCTTCTAACTCTAATATTTTCCGTGAGCTCCATAGGTTTGTTTGGGGATCTCTTTAACTGAAATCATCTGCTTCTTATTAATGCATTTACCTTACCTACCATAAGCTCAGGGTTACTTTCAACACAGAATGCAAGGAAAAATATCTAAAGCAAAAACTCAGAACAGTGGCTGCACCAAAGCTTAAGCTATAGCCATATTTACTAGCACATTTCTGAGCAATGGGAACATATTAATTGCATCATTATTTATAGAAGCAAATTTGTTCTCCATGTGTTAATCTGTTATTAAAAATAATGTTTTTAATGCAAAGAAACACAAACTTGCAATGTCCAGAGGTTGCATTTGATGTTATAAAGCACTAGGAAGGCTATAACTCACCACAGGCAACGTTTAGCAGCACCACCTCCAGAGCACGCCTGCCCATGGTGGAGGCAGGATCGAGGCTAGCTGCAGTTGTGGGGTAAGGTGCTGCTCTTCCTCTTTGTAGAGCTGAAAGGTAAGGAACAAATGCCTGCCCAAAAGGCAGATCAATTTCAAACTGTGCAGACACCACTAAGTCACATGAACAGAGAGAGGGGGTGGAGCAGGGAGGAGCCAGTGTCTTCTCAGTGTTAAGCCACCACAGAGGAAAAGGTTGATGATGGCTGGAAAGTGAAAACAGGAAGGACTGGTGTTTTAAGCAAGGTGTTTCATTCCCGCCCTGCAGCCCATCAAGTGGGTAGCAAGAGCTTACGCAGAGTGGCTTAATGTTGTCCCTAGGTTTCCAGCGTCTAGGTATGGCTATTTGATGCTGTCTTTGAAGGCTGCAGTTTTAGTGATTGAAAATACTGAGCATTAAATGGGGAACAGAGAGAGAAAGTTACTTTGCCCCAGTGTGTGGTTAAAAAAAAAAATTGGGGAGGGGGAGGTAAATTCTTTATTTAAATTTAGTGCTGGGAGAGGTAGAGGTTTGCACACTTACAGTGCACTGAGTGGGGCAGGTGCAAGAAGCCAGGTCCATCCCCCTCCACCCAGACACAGTCCAGCTAGAATGAGCAGAGGGGCGGGCAAAGCCTACGGGCTGGCTAGCAGTTCTTGAGCACTATAGGCAATGCTGACTAGCATAGCCAATCATGCTCCATGATCTCAGTGAGGTGTGACCACCTGGGCTGAACATGGCCAGCAGGGTCAAGAGCACGGCCAGGTCCCTCAACACATAGTAATGACATGTCGAGATGTACTAATACTTTATTCTGACAACCATTCCATGACTGGAAGTTAGCCTAGTATGCAAGCTGCAAGAATGAGGAGCAGACTGCTGGAGTTCTGCAGATAAGAGCACCCCATACCGGTGTGTGTCTGGATTTATTTCCACGGGACTCAACACATGCCATATGCTTGGAGTGGTGCATGCTGCACCTTTCATCAGCAGGATAAGGGGTACTATATATTGTGCTCTCCCGGCAATCCCCAAGGCATATGCCTGCATCTGCTCATTGTGCTTTCTAGAAGACCACCTGGTCTCTTGAGCCCCAAACTCTCCCACTAGCGCCCCAGAGAAGATAGGGGTCCCTCAGGAGCTAACCCTTTGCAAATACCATGAACCAGAAAGAACAGGACTGGAATTTACAGTAGTAGTCTCGATTCAAAAACAGTGCCGGCATGTTTCCCACGTCTCTGCCAGACCTGGGGATGGATCTTTCCCCTTCTCAGAAGAGGTGCCATTGCATAGAGCAAAATGTCAGGACTGTGAAAACGCAGCAAAGCAAAAATTGATTCATCCCCATACATGTGTGCAGCCTGTCACCTGAGGCTATTTATGTCCTAAAGGGCCCCCTGATCCTAGAAATGGTCGGAACAGAATGTGAAAGCAGAAGCTGCAAGAGAATTTCCAGGCACAAAGGGACTTGTTGACCATCAGCCAATCAATGGCTTAGCTGGGACTAGAACCCAGGCATCCTTTTGGCTTCTAGTCCTTTGCTCTAAGCAGGTGACAACTCAATATCATTAGTGGCACACATTTTAATGAAGTGCACATTATAAATGACATTGCACTAAGAAATGCTTCTGCCACATTAGTAGCTGCTGCATTCAGGGCCTGGTTCACCTCTGAGTAACCTCCGTGGCGACTTCTGATTTACACCAGCATAACTCAGAGGAGAATCAGGTCCTCCGTATACAATAGGAGAATTTAACCATCAACATTTGCATAACATGATATGCTAATTTCACCATCGATGTACTTATAAACTGCTACTGCCCTCTAGCAACACGGACCCCACCCCCCAGTTCTGTTCAGGGACGCTGGAATAATACCTGTGCCCCCCATATAAATCTTTGCCAGGGAGGGCTTTAAAACTAAGCTATATTTCCAACTCCTACTGAGTTGTTAACAAGAGAGCTGCCACCCTCTACTGGAGTATGGGCTGTATTACAGAGAACACACTCACTGAAAGAGGTTAACATTTATTTCTTGGTTGGTTTAATTTTTAAACAGGCTGTTTAATGCTCTCTCTCTCTCTCTTTCTCTTGTACACCTTATTTTTACTTATTTAGTTGCATTCAGATTTATAAAAACAACCCACCATGTAGTCTCTGGGCACATGATCAAAAGTTTCAAACAACAGAGCGTCACATCACTTGCTGACAAATATCAACCCAGGAAAACTCACCACAAAATACCGCTCAGTTCGTTCTTTACAACTGCCTCCCTCACCTCCATGCTGCACCCTCAGACAATCCTTTGAGGAGAGAGATGAGCTATACCTCGACTCTGAGGCCCTGTGGGACCAAAATGGAGGCAAATCCTAGACCAGAGGGACCATCACTGGAAAGTCTGTCTCCACACCTGCAACGTTCATGTGTATGGTCTGATGGCTCAGGCTCCTCAGCTGAGCTCAAGCATCAGGTTGGAGCACAGGGTGAAAGAGTCTCAGAGGTAGACAGGGCCCCAAACTGTACAGGTTTTATCAGTCTATTAACACTGTGGATCACACCCATGTGTAGATACGGAGCCAGGGCAGTTTTTGGAGAACAAGGGTAAAAGTGCTCCATACACAGCTATCACTGCACTCGTCCTTCGTACCTAGAGCAGTGCAAAGGCTTCTGGGAAGTGGGGAATAGGGAGGGGAAGCCACAAAACAGGCCCCGGTAAGGAAAAGGACAAGGAGGAAAATGGCGGAACAGAGGGAGAAATAGAAGAGAAAAATAGCCAGAAAATAGAGAGTGTGAGGGATATGGTGTTGCCTGTGATAATTTATGACTTGTATATGTTGGTCTGGGTTTTGCTGAATGTATATTTTGAGTGAATTCAATAGTAGGATTGCCAAGGAGTGCACCAGGAAGGGGGAAGGGAATCCAGATATATGCTGCACAGCAAACACTGGCGGGAGGATGCCAGAGCCAATCACTTTGGTGCTCTGGTGTGACCCCCTGCTAAGGTTGTCAGACAGGCTTCCTCAGGAAGGAGTCAGTACCTCTGAAGAGCGGAAATCAAAAGATTCAGGAAGGTGTAAAGAGACACAAACTCCCTTAAGGCCAGAGACATAGGTTTTTGAGACTAAGAACCCACAGCCGGTTGTGTGGGTTCTGGGGGAAGTTAGACCTACTGGGGTCCCCATCAGGAGGATGGTTAGACTCTTGGTAAGACAGACGTGTGTTGTTTTAAAATCCTTTTGCTCTTATGTTTTATTTTGTTCCTACTGTGAAGATTAAACAATACCTTGGTCTTGATTTGAGACGGCCGTCTGATCACTTTATGCTCCGCTGGCCAGCAACTCCCAAAGGGAAGAACCACGGGTACCTAACGCAGTCAGACTGGCTGGGTAAGCAAGGAAGATAAACATGATACGGCAATCCTGGGCCCAGTCTAAAAAAGTGAGAGAATTGCTTGATTCCACCACAGGAGAGCAAAGCTATGAGGCCTGAGAAAGTGCACTCAAACAGACCAGAGGGGTCGCCATCTCTCAACTGTGACAGATAGTCACAGCTCTGCCTTGGGCACCTAGAAAGGGAAGACCCATCCAACCATCCAGCCCAAGGTGGGCTCCACCAGAAAAGGTGAGTGCGGAGGTTCCATGCCTCCCCACTGCTCGATACTATGGCTGGACCCCTTTAACTTCTAGGTTCTTTTGTGCCCTGAGAATCCCTTGTTTTGTGGTGAATGAGTGGGAGATGGCTGACAAGCAAATCTCTTGGATAATCAGTATCTTCTTTCCTTTCAGTCATTGCAGCATTCAATCATTTCAACCTTCTCCAGAGCAGAAGAGACATTGCTTTCCCTCTCTCTAATTAGAAGGGTTAACTGAGCAAGGCGGCCGGGGGCAATTCAGACAAAGCTGGGGAGTGAGGCTGGCATCTCTCAGTAAAGGCAGATTGCTCACCGAATGGATGTTCCTTCACTCCAGTGTAATCAAGAGAGGGACCGAATCTTTCAGGGACTTCCAGACCATTTGCTGCCATAAGCCCCCAAGTAGTTCAGCGATAGCTACTGTAAGGACTCACAAGCACAACAAGAAGGATTCAGCTGAAAAAGCTGAGGGTTTATTTGAGGAATGCGGTTGAAGGAGGCAGAAAAGTGGATAGAAAACTCTAGCAATGGGGGAGGGAGGGGAATCTTTGGAACTGAATGAGCCCCGTTTTCCTTTGACTTACACCAGAATAAAACAGGTAACTCTACTAGGTCCCTGTATCAGAGGGGTAGCCATGTTAGTCTGGATCTGTAAAAGCGGCAAAGAGTCCTGTGGCACCTTATAGACTAACAGACATATTGGAGCATAAGCTTTCATGGGTGAATATCCACTTCTTCAGATGTATGCCTAGGTCCCTGTGTGACCCTAGGCACCCCTATACTCACACCCTGTATGCTACAGGAATGGTTATTGTACAAAACACGCCTTATGAGGTATCATTTGAAAACTAATGACACACTGGTCAGTGACATCATTGTGAAACGTGTTTAACAAAGCGGTATGTGAAATTATGGTTACTCACTGATACAATGCTTTAAAGTCTTGACTAAAAGGTGCTTAACGCAGGTTCATCCAGGGGAGTTGGTAAACGAGTTTCCTCCAGATAAAGGAGAGAGGCCAATGCCTCAAACCAAGTGTGGCCCAAATTCAGTGGGCTATTCTTTTGTATTAGAGGTTGCAGCAGGAAGAGATAATTTGCATAGTAGCACCCACTAGTGGCAGAGAAATCAACGTGAACCTTTATCTCCCAAACCTCATTGTTCCTTACTCAGCATGAACCGCCCGGAAAAATCTATTCTGAAGGCTCACCGAATTATAAAGAGAGGTGGAGCAAACCTCTAAGTGATCCTTCACTTAAGGAGACAAAGAAACCAAGCGATTTGATCTCTGTGCTAGGTCATCGCCAGGCTGGGCAATACAAAGCTGAAAAGGAGACTGTGGGTGAGAGAAACCATCTTGAACAAAGACTAATTTGGTAGATTAAGTTTTAGACTTTTAGCTGCATGTTTTCACTTCTGTTTGCTTGTAACCATCTCTACCTTTTATTTCTTTACCTTGGTATCACTGAATCCAGGCTTTTTTGTTAATAAACTTGATTTGCTTTCATTATAAGTCATCAGTGCTGGGTCAGATCAGTGCTAAAGTGTGTACTTCTAGTAAGCTGATAGGTTGGCATGTTTTACTGACTCTGTAGAGGCAGCAGACCTAACACTTTGTCTGTGTGGATCCAGTGAGAGGGACTGGTCCCCATAGCAGGAAGATCTGAGGGCTGGAAGGGTACCAAGGTCGGCCTGCAAGGCATAACCAAGTTGGGCAAAGGCAGGGTGAGGCTTGTGGGCTGCTGGCAGGATGCTGGGGTCAGCGCTCTGGACCAAAGCTGCACAACCAGAGGATACCTGTGGTTACCAGTCAGAGAGTGACTTGACTGAACCCCTTACTGGTCTGGGTAAACCCCATAATGGAGTTACACTAGGTGTGAGATGAGAAAATTTTGGCTCATACAATCTGGGATGTGCTCTGAAATTTTGGCAAAACATATTCCAGGTTTAGTTTGCTTAATAAATTCTGACAGTTTGTGCATTTTACCTCCCTGTCCTTTTGCAGAGTTACCCCATGCAGTTGGCTCAGGCTGTGTAGATAGCTTGCAAAACACACAATTAAAGTCCAAATTATACACTGCAAATACATTGCTTAGGGCCCATTTATAAATGTGTTGGGGAACCCAGCTACAATATGGGTTTGTTCCATGATCTGGTTACAGTCTTAGCTTACATGAGTCTTAACCATGCTGTTGAACCCTAGGTAAAGCCTTGGACTTCTCTAAGTGTTTAACATGATTCAGGGACACGATTAAGGGAGATCTGTAAAGGAAAAATGGTTTCATATCTTTTGTGGCCAAATATGTGATGGTCATAACTAAGGCTAAATTCAACATAAGCATGAATTTTTCAGCTGTGTAGATGGGACCTTACTAAGCCCCTCTCATTTAAAATGAATGACAAGCTCATTTTTCTCCTTATATTACACAGAAATGCCAACTACACAGAGTGTTTTGTACTACAGTATTTATACTTTTTATAAAGACCAAACAAAGTGTGGTTTTACACAGTTCAGAATGGCCTATTTACAGAAATTCCAGATTCACACACTTGGTGGTTGTGGGTTATAAATTCATACATTCTGTCGTGACTGGGGTGTGGGGGGAAGGGGAGACAGGCAAGTTATCGAGAGAGTTCTGTGCTTTTTCCCTGTCTGATTATCTCTCATCAGTCATAATATACAAATACATCAGCATCAACATGGAAAATATGTAAGCATTATGAACCGTACCAATTCTCAGCTGGGCAGCAGAAATCTTAGTAGCAACTTTCCACTCCAGCTGCTGCTGGAACTACACAATCTGTCTGCTTTAAATACTTCTGATCATCTAACAGCAAATCAGACCCAAAGCACTTTTTTTTTTTTTTTAAAGGAAGCTCCTGACCTTTCTGCCACCCAAGCCTGTTTGAAATCTCAAAGGCTGGCTACTAAAATGGTTAAGCAAGCGGAACACCAACCACACAAATCTCGATTCCCGCTGGCAAGGAAAGCCACCGTTAGAACATGGTTGGGCAACTGTGTGTCAAGACTGTGGGCCCGCATCTCTACTCCATAAAACTAGTGGAGGCTGAGGCCTGGTTATTTTTATAGCATAGACTGGGCCTGAGACCTTGAGAGTGGAAGCCAGGGCTTAATTTATGCTAGGGCTTGCCAGGGCTGAGCACCTCTAGGCTCGACCGTTCATAGCCCTGGCACCTCTGGGCTTGCCGCATCAGTTATGAATATAAAAAAAAATTGCTTGAGCCCCTAAGTGCTTGAGCCCTGGCACCTCTTTCCTTTCAAATTAAGCACTGGTTGAAGCCTGTTAGCAACCACCATTTTTAAACATCCTGGCAGCTACCAAACCTTCTCCAAACAGTGTAAACATGTCATGAGACTGTGATTTAGGGCTCATCTACTCAACAAATTGTCGTCAGCTTAAACTTTGACTCCTCATAAAACAAAAGCATTTGAACTTTATTATAAAACCCCAGCAATACAGAACTCAGTCGAAGGTTGATACGACAATGTAAAAACCAGCCATCTCAGGGTACCCAGCTACAACACAGCAATGGCCAAAATGGATAAAATATGGTCTGAGCTTGTAAAGTGGATGGGACAGGACCAAACAAGAAGCCTTGGGCTCTTGGTAGCAAGGGTCACGGACACAGCTAAAACACTGTTGAAGGCTTGCTAGGCAGCAAGAGCATCAAGCATCTAAGCTGTATCTGTGGCCAGCTGCGTTCTAACCAGCCCCCAACCATGACTGAAACCTGAGTGCTGTATCCAATTCACACAGCCACATGGTAGTGAATGATTCTCTCCCTCTTCAGTATGTTCATGATATCAGCGTGACCTACAGATCTTGGTCAAACCAGGACAAACTTTGTTTGAAAAAAAGTGTCAGAAATGTTATTAAAAAAAGGTGTGTGTGTGGGGGGGGGAAGTAGTTAAAATCCAAACTATAATTTTGCAGCTGTTGTTGCCATGGTGCACTGAAGGAAAAGAAAACCTGTCCCCGCACTAGTCCCAGGGTGCCCAAGTAGGACCCAGGCAGGATGTTATGCGAGTGCTCCTTGAACATAAAGGGGTGTATGTGTGGGGGGAGACAGCTATCAAATCTGTTGTTGCTTCACTCACTGCCCAAGAGGGCACAGGTGTCCAGCCTGGGTTCAGGGCCAGGGGTCCCCCCACCTTAGGTGCACCTGCTGGCACCCAGCTGCAGGGCTGAGTGAGGGGAGACTGTAAGCTGACACCTTCTGCACATAACAAAATGTCATCATCCCATTTTACAGATGGGGAAACAGAGGCACTGAGGGGTTAAGGGATTTGGCCCAAGTTAACACTGCAAGAGGCAGAGGCAGGAACAGAACCCAAAGGATTCCTGATTTCCTGTCCTCTAAAGATAGACCCCACTGGCTCCCACTCCTGGGAGACGGATATTTTATCAACAACAACAATAATGTCAAATCCTAGCCTTTCCTCTAGAGAGATTCCAAAGTGCAATGTTTGGCCTTTCCACAAGTCAACAATAACAGTACAAATAAATTTTCGGTTTGGCAATTTCATTAGTGCAGTACTGCATACGCTACTGATAATAACAAGGATGTCTCAGTGAAGTTATCCTGTGGGGAAGAAAATGACTTCACTCTGAGAAAATTTCATTGTATTGGGGACTGGAGGGACTTGACTTTGCCTTCAAGTCGCTCACATGACTTCTGCAGGAGTTGTGTGTGTTTGTTCCTCAGGGCAATACTGGGCCTGAATGTCATTTAGTGTAAATGAGATCTATCCGCAGGACAACATGGGCCAAATCCTTATTTCAGTGCAGCAGCACTGACTTCAGTAAAAGAAGGAAGGCTCTGTCCCACTGAATCGTGTTTCCTCTAGACACAAATCAGCAAAATAGAAAGCAGCACAAATCAAAGGAGTTAGGTATTTGGAGGTTGGATGAGCAACTTGGTGTTCTAAGCCAGCATTCATTCTGTTTGGTACCGCAGTCAAACTCATCATTAAACCAATAAGCTCTCTAGAGCTCCAATTCAGCAAGGTATAATTAAGCCTGTGCCTTAATTTTATCTTTGCTGGGACTATTCACATGCTTCAATGCTTTGCTGTATCATGGTAATTGCGCCATCAACCCCCCCAAAACCTCCACGATACAAAGAAAAACACTTGTGTCCCTGCAATGAAACCATAGTTTAAAGCATTATTAATTCATCGTCCTATTTTGCCCATGGTACAATTCATAATGAGTGCTTTGCTTTTGGTTTGGCCTTTTCTCCCTTTTCAGTGCTATGATAGCCTTTAATTTATACGGGGCATCACTAATCATGGTACAGAAAAGGTCTCGTTTAGTCAAAATCAATCACTAACTTTTGAGCTCTCTAGCATAATTTCTTTCAGGCCAGTCTTTTTCTGTTTTCACAGTCCTAGGTCAATATTTACGTTTGCAAAACTTAAGGTACTAGCAGCTTTGTGGGATCTAAAACTCCCATTTTGCATCAAATTGCCGCCATGCAAATGCCATCGGACCTGCTCTGAAAGAGCTAATGATTTCTATAGGAATTTTACGGATCTCCGTGATATCCTTATGCTGCAGAGATTTGGTACAGTCCTTAATAAAATGTCCTGGAAAGAAGCATATAACGATAACACTTTATCTATTCCTCCGAGCTTCTAAAGCCCACCTGCCCATTTGCAAATGCCGAAGTATAGTCTGATACCATATGGGAATGAACCGTACCTAGTCCAAAGTCCAGCACACAGAGAAAGTGTACAGCATGCAGTCTACTCAAATGTAGAACGTTAAATGGCATTCAACAGAATTATCAGCACCAAATGTGGAGGGATGTGATCCAAAACCCACAGACTGGGGGAAAGAATTTGTTTATACTGCAAAAAGACCTCAAAATGTCACAATAGTTGCCATATATTGGTTCCTGCCTCAGTCTGAATCGCCACCTCTTAGTCAAGTCTCCTCCAAAGATCTTGTAAACAGAAGACTATTCACTGAGAGGAAGCAGTCACACCATCGCTGTGCTAAGCTTCATTGATTCGGGACTTGTATTTCCCCCACCACTACCCTGCAGTTTTCTGTTCCTGTTAATGATCAGTTAGAAATGACTGAACACATCATTTTCTATCCAGTGGAGTTAAGGGAGGCAGCGGAAGGCACAGCAGCAGAGCCAAATGAACAGAAACAATCCAGGACATTCCCATGGTGGAGCAGTAACTGGTGACCATGTTCTTCTGAAGTAACCCAACGTCCAAGCGATGTAGCCACAAGGTGAGTGCATAGTAACTTTTCACTTTGCTGTCGACCTAATTTAGGCCACATCCTATCCAATGATTCAATAAACAATGCGAGAAGCATTTTTTCTGTTCAATACTGAAGATGATTTTGATGCCGTTTGAATTTTTAATGCTCCTTCAGTTTTCCCGCTCATGCCTTGGACCTAGCAGCTTTCCTGTCAATGTGGTTGGAATGAATTCTGAAGCTCAGAGCTTGTGGGAACGGTGACTTGATCCAGCATCCACCAAAACAAACAAAGAAGAGAAAGGAGTCCTGAGGAAAACCTGTCCTGCAGTTCAACTCCCAGCCCTCTGTTCTGCCGTTAAGCTTCTGGCCAGCTCACTTTCCTTAATTTCAGTGTCTGCCAGGGCCATGCTGCATGTATCATTGTACACTTCTGAAAAACAAACACACACAGGTTGTCACTACAGGGATATCTCAAGGACTTGTAAGCTACAATATGGAGGTTTGCTATTAATAAGTACACAGCAGTAAAATAAAATTGAAAAAAACCTAATCTCAACCCTCATGCTTCATGGCACTAGCTGATCATCAGGTAGGGTCAGGAAGGAATTCCCTTGAACAACTGGTTAGGTACATCATGTGTTTTTGGTTTTCTTCTGGAGCATCGGTTATAAGTTAGTGTCAGTGACAGGACATTGGTCTAGGTGGAACACTGATTCATTAGGTTCCAGCTTTAACTACCATGTGTTTCTCTTAAACTGCAGCAAGAAATTCTTGTTAATTTTCAAAAGTGCTTTCCTAAATCTTAGCAAATTGAAAAACAACAACAAAACCATCATTAGCTCTCACCTTCAGATCTCAAGTAAATGGATCATGACAGGTTCTGCTCTCAGTTACATTTTGTTTCCAATGCAAGATGTAACTGAAGGCAGATTTCAGCCTGATATTTATAAAGAGGGGCCAAAATTGTAATGTTAAACCGGATTTTCAGAGGGTGCTCAGATGCAACTCTCTAAATCCAATCCCTGCCCTACGGTTTGGGTTTTGGGTCAGATCCGAAACTGGAAAAGGACTATTTCTAGTTCTGGTTTGACTGAAATCTCACCGGGACAGCCCTTCTTGAAAAAACGTTAGCCCAAGGTGGTGGAAATATTGTGAGAGCACCTGCTCCGCAACAACAGTTCATGAGATTTTGATGTCATCAAATCCAAACCCGAACCATAGCCCTGATCGTGTGTTTGAACCTTGAACTCCAACTGGGACTGAAATGCCACCTCTAGCCCTGCTCCAGTGAGACAGTTAGATTGAAGACATATTGTACTGTCATGTGTATGTTTGATCAGGTGCCAACGTGCCTTTTCATTAACAAAAACGGAAAATCAAAGAGCTTTTAAAACCCCATTAGAAACTCTTTATTACCTGCATTGTTCTTCCTAAGGATACTGTTACTATCGCCTTCTGCTGGCTGTAACACACTGGAAGGAACCCAATCGCTTTTCTCAGAAGCCAGCTTCTTTACTAACCTGGAAATTCAGAGTGAGCAGTCAATGCATTTCCCCACCTCCCTTCCCACTGGTACAGTTCTTCATGAAAATGCACGTTATAGGGGTAACTCCTCAGCTACGGCCAAAGAGCAGCAGGGGTGGGAGGTGTAGATTGCTAGGGTGGCGATGTAAAGCTCACCTTAGCACTCCCCCAATTCTGGGGCAGCTGTGCACGGGGCCAGCAGCCTGAGGGTGTGACTGTGCTACAGGGTTTCTGAATCTGCTCACTGCAAAGACACACACTGTGTGGCAGGTTTCAGAGTAGCAGCCGTGTTAGTCTGTATTCGCAAAAAGACAAGGAGGACTTGTGGCACCTTAGAGACTAACCAATTTATTTGAGCATAAGCTTTCGTGAGCTATAGCTCGCTTCATCGGATGCATACTGTGGAAAATACAAAAGATGTTTTTATACACACAGACCATGAAAAAATGGTTCTCTCCCCTCACCCCACACTCCTGCTCGTAATAGCTTATCTAAAGTGATCACGCTCCTTACAATGAGTATGATAATCAAGGTGGACCATTTCCAGCACAAATCCAGGTTTTCTCCCCTCCGCCCCCCACCACCCCACTCTCCTGTTGGTAATAGCTTATCTAAAGTGATCACTCTCCTTACAATGACAGGTTTCAGAGGAACAGCCGTGTTAGTCTGTATTCGCAAAAAGAAAAGGAGTACTTGTGGCACCTTAGAGACTAACCAATTTATTTGAGCATGAGCTTTCGTGAGCCACAGCTCACTTCATCAGATGTGTACCGTGGAAACTGCAGCAGACTTTATATACACACAGAGAATATGAAACAATACCTCCTCCCACCCCACTGTCCTGCTGGTAATAGCTTATCTAAAGTGATCAGCAGGTGGGCCATTTCCAGCACAAATCCAGGTTTTCTCACCCTCCACCCCCCACACAAATTCACTCTCCTGCTGGTGCTAGCCCATCCAAAGTGACAACTCTTTACATAATCAAGTCGGGCTATTTCCTGCATAGATCCAGGTTCTCTCACTTCCCCCCCACCCCCATACACACACAAACTCACTCTCCTGCTGGTCTAAACTGACCACTCTCCAAGTTTAAATCCAAGTTAACCAGATTTAAACTTGGAGAGTGGTCAGTTTAGACCAGCAGGAGAGTGAGTTTGTGTGTGTATGGGGGTGGGGGGGAAGTGAGAGAACCTGGATCTATGCAGGAAATAGCCCGACTTGATTATGTAAAGAGTTGTCACTTTGGATGGGCTAGCACCAGCAGGAGAGTGAATTTGTGTGGGGGGGTGGAGGGTGAGAAAACCTGGATTTGTGCTGGGAAATGGCCCACCTGCTGATCACTTTAGATAAGCTATTACCAGCAGGACAGTGGGGTGGGAGGAGGTATTGTTTCATATTCTCTGTGTGTATATAAAGTCTGCTGCAGTTTCCACGGTACACATCTGATGAAGTGAGCTGTGGCTCACGAAAGCTCATGCTCAAATAAATTGGTTAGTCTCTAAGGTGCCACAAGTACTCCTTTTCTTTCTCCTTACAATGTGTATGATAATGAAGGTGGGCCATTTCCAGCACAAATCCAGGGTTTAACAAGAATGTCTGAGGAACAGTTGGGCGGGGGGGGGGGGGGAAGGAAGGAATAGGCAAGGGGAAATAGTGAAGCTCCAGATCTGGCCAATGTTTTTGAGATGGTGGGACAAATTCAGAGGCGTCTCCAGGAGGTGTCTAAGATGAGGTATCTGACAACTTTGTCTTCCCCTTCAGTCTGAATGTGACACTGACTAAGCCCCCCTTGGCTGTATTAACTCAGACTCACACCTGACTCCCAACATGAAACTTACTCCCACCCCATCACCTACACATCACCCCTGACTTTGGCCCCCTGAGTCTGGCTGTAAGGTAGCCTTACGGAGTCTAAATGAGTGTAACTCCCACATTCAAGGACTAGTCAAAGGAAAGTGTGGCAGGAAAGGGACCTACTAGGACAGGGCAAGAAGTCAATTATAGGGGGCCACGCTATGACTTACACCATATCCCAGCCTCTTGGCATGCAAGTTACACCTGTTTAGAATTCCCGACAGTCATTCATCCGTACGCAGGTAGAAGGAAGTCTTAAGGGCGTCCAAGTCTCAGGGAGCCTAGGGCTCTTTCTACACCGTGCGCTAGGGATGTGATTCCCAGCTTGCGTAGATGGTCTCGCGCGAAGCTCAGCACCCCACGTACGTTCAGGCGGGTTGGTACTCAGGGGAGTAGCCTGTGCCATGGCCACACTGCTATTTTTAGTATCCTCGCTTGATGAGAGCTAAGGCGAGTACGTCTGGTGAGCTGGGAATCACGCCCGTAGCTCGCAGTGCAGAGGCAGCCTAAATGACTGCAAGGGAATCTAACTTATCCCACCTTTGACCAATGGACTTGCACTGATGTAAGTGAGAGCAGGATGCAGCCACTGGTATATTTTCCTCTGTTCCCAAGGGTGCGCCTCACCCCTGCCAGAGGCCCAACTATTTCCCATCCCCTCTGGTTTCATGTCTCTCTCCACCCAAGCCTCATGTCCAGCCACTACTGGCCAAAGGGGACTAGGTGGGACCGGCCAGGGTCACTGCACTTGAGTCAGGCAGCATGACTGCGGAGCGATTGGAGGAGCCTCTCCTGTCACACTGCGGTGAATCAGAAAAGTTACTAGTAGATTAGTTTATTAAACTGTGGGGGTATTCGTAGTGACCCCTTTGTTAAAGCTGGGCTCTGATCCATAGAATCCAGAGCCAGAGGGGACCATTGCGATCATCCAGTCTGACCTTCAAACACAGGCCAGAGAACTTCCCCCAAGTAATTCCTAGAGCAGATCTTTTAGAAAAACATCGAACCCTGATTTAAAAATGGCAAGTGATGGAGAACCCACCACAACCCTTGGTAAGTTGTTACAGGGATTAATTACCCTTTCACTCTTGAAGCAGGACTAAAACCCCTCTGTTTCGTACTTTGGTGGTTGAATTTAGACTCCACATCTGACACAGTAACTTTTCAAATACATGTTAACCTCATCCTACCCTCAATACACAGCTGATCCAGAGAGGGGCTGAGCCCAGTGGACAGAAGAAATTCTTGACTTCAAGAGGAGCTGCAGGTGCTAGGCATACAATGGTCCCACTGGTATAAGTGTACAATGGTGCCAATGTATCTCCTTGGTGCAAATGGGTTATGTGCATGTATCACAGAGAGAATATATCCCTTGTACATAATAACCCATCTTTAGGCCATGTTAGACTCTGCCACAGACCGTACAAGGTGGGGTTCTCTCTATTTTCTATAGGTTTCCTCCTGCTTTGGGTTTCGTTTCTGCAGATGTTTTCAGATCCTTCTAATTAGTTTTTCCACCTCTCACATGTGGTTACAGCTGTCCTAGCTGCAACTTTCTCTTTTGTACTTACCATTGTCCATTTTCTCCTTCCTGTACAAAATGCACTAAATCTCCATTTTCTAGAGTGAGAGACTCTGGAAAACAGGTTTCATAACTTCCTTCTACCCGTAAAAGATTGGACCCCTAAAACCAATGAAACAATACAGCATATAGTTACCATGAAGGGAGGAAACAAAAGAGAGAGACTTTCTGGTTAACATAATGAGCTAGGCTTTGCAGAGATTTATTCTTCTGGGAATGTCGTAGCTTTTTCATTCTTTTATTTTTGGTCAGCGCGTGAGGTTAGTGATATTCAGGTATCAGTGCAGGACTCACCTGCCTATTCAAACTCCGCAATTAATAAATCAGCCATCATTCTGACAGTGGGTTTCTGTTTGATTTTATGGAGTCATCAGTTTGGGTGATCCAGATGTGTTTGAATTTACTTATTTTTAAAGGGAATGTGAAGTTCCCAGATGCTACAGAAAGAGGCGCTGTAGAAGAGCCCAAACGAATGAATGAACTTGTACTGCAGTTAAGGGCTTCTTTCTCCATTCCTGTGTTTGCTTCTGCTCTCAGTGACGCTGGTGTATATCAGGAGTAAGGCCCATTGACGTCAGTGGACCAGTACAAAGATGGTATAAGTAAAAATGGAATCAGCACCCCTCACCCCTTTATTTATGGGGTTTATAGCGGGGCTGTGATGATTCATAGAATCATAGAAGTTTAGGGTTGGAAGATATCTTAGGAGGTCATCTAGTCCCACCCCCTGCTCAAAGCAGGACCAATCCCCAACTAAATCATCCCAGCCAGGGCTTTGTCAAGCTGGGCCTAAAAGCCTCTAAAGATGGAGATTTCACCACCTCCCTAGGAAACCCATTCCAGTGCTTCACCACCCTCCTAATAAAACAGTTTTTTCCTAATATCCAACCTAGACCTCCCCCACTGCAACTTGAGACCATTACTCAGTCATCTGGTATCACTGAAAACAGCCTAACTCCATCTTCTTTGGAACCCCCATTCAGGTAGTAGAAGGTTGCTATCAAATCCCCCCTCACTCTCTCTTCTGCAGACTAAATAAGCCCAGTTCCCTCAGCCTCTCCTCATAAGTCATATGCCCCAGCCCCCTGATCATTTTCGTTGCCCGCTGCTGGACTCTCTCTAATTTGTCCACATCCTTTCTGTAGTGGGGGGACCCAAAACTGGACGCAATACTCCAGATGTGGCCTCACGAGTGCTGCCTATAGGATGAGACTGACAATATCTGAGCTTGGGTGTAATATTAATGACAACATATTGTTCCAGTCATTGGGATGATTTCTCACTTTGGAGAAAAGCAAAATAACGGTTGGTTTTAGACCCTTCTGAGTTTTGGGAACCAAAAAAGGTGTAGGGGTGAGGGGAAGGGACTATGTTATTTCCCCCTGTTTCTGTATCTAATATATTTAAACATAATTTAAATCAGGAGGTTAAAAGTGAGTGAGACTTTCTGTGATTCTGGCTGGCAAAACAACCTAGGGAAGAATTCAATGCATCCCAAAGCAATGCCTGGGCATGTCAGTATGTTTACAGGGCTCTGGTGCTACCAGTACTGTGAAACACTAGAAGTGCCGGCTGGATGGGCATTCTGGGCACTGCTAAATCTTATACCTACATACAGTAGCCTAGCCTTAGATCTTACGGTTCTTGAAAACCTAAGATGGTCTAAAACCAACACCAGGAATGTGTGAACTGCCCTGAACTTCAGGGAAATCTGCACCCCGTTCCAGTTCTGAACTTTTGCCCCCATCCTAGAACCAAATCAAGCCCCCTAATTAAAACACCCCATAACTTCGGAAATGCATGGATCCAAACGCTGCAGTTTATGCCCATTCCAGGCTAGGCTTACAATGTGATGGGAGTGAAAAGAATTACATTGTTAGGATTGGCCTCTTCCTCCATGTCAGAAGAGTTGGAGAGTTCATCTGTGCTGGATGGGATGGCTTCGAAATCCTCAAAGGTGTCTAGCGAGGGCATCTGCCTGCTGGGCCAACCTTTGCAAAGGAAATGAAACAACAGGATTTAACTACAGGGCATTTGCTCTTAGAGGACCCAAACATTTAAATAGGCAGTTCATAGATTCCCTCCCCCCCTGCCCCTGCTATATTACATATGTATTTCACATTGCTAAATATCTTCAGTTTAAGAATCACAGAATGTAGGAGACAAGGAGCAGAGAATTATGGCAAATGGTGACTTTGCAAAGCCACTGTGGGTTTTTCAGTAGCCTTTCAGGTGGGCTGGGTCTGTTTCAGTTTTCAAGCTTCTAGCTCACCTCCCTGTATGTCTAGTATTTGAGGCCAAAGGCTTTTGAATAACAGTTCACCCAACCCCAGCCTTCAGCTGATCTTATGCCCAAACAGCTTCCAAAAACTGGCACGTATGCCAAAGGCAGAAGTTGTGAGGGAGGGGAAGGAGTTAGAACAACAGGGGGAACAGGTCTTTTGACACAGCACTGATACAGAGTTCAGGAGTCAAGAAGAGATGGTCTGATTTACATGCCTAATGTGAATAAATCTTTTTGACCGATCAGGGTAGTGGATATCTGATATCAGACAAAATCAACTGGTTCCTCTTGCTGTTATACATGGCAGTAAATAAACTGTAATGTCATAGGAGAGAGAAATGTGTAACAGCAACAAATCATGGTGCATACAGCCACTTGGAACCTCACAGCTTTGGTGAGGATTGGACTCAGCTCTTCCTGTGCAAGCCCTAATCGTTCAGGTTGTGACACAGCAGAGAGTGGGGAGTGTTGACCTGGGAATGTTGCAGGGGAGGTTTTCTGGGACTGTCTGCATTGGGGATGGGAGACTTTCCTTGAGGGAAGATACCTGAGCATGTAACATGAGAGCCCAGGAGGGGGGTTGGGGCCAGGTGACACCTTCTGCCTGGGAAACTGGACAAAGGCTGGAGCAGGAACCAGTGGGAGGCAGGTGAGACGGCTGGAGGGGGTTTCAGTTTGGAGCTGGCTGGGGAAATGGAGGGAGCCCCAGGGCTGGGATATAAGCTCCCTTATACCTTCCCCCCCACCCCCCCCGAAGGACTTGACTGAGGGGTCCTGGTTGTACCTACAAGCTCTGGTTGGGACTGTGTTCCTATCGTCCAATAAACCTTCCGTTTTACTGGCTGGCTGAGCGTCACAGTGAATCGCAGGAAGTGGGGATGTAGGGCCCTGACTCCCCTACACTCCGTGACACAGGTAAAGGAGAATCTCTATTAGCAATACAGAGCCTGTGACACACAGCTGAGCCATTCTAATGCCTTCCGGCGCAACCCTCACAAATGGCAAGATGTTGCACCAGAAAAGTGAGCACTAATGTGGAATGCTCCAGCACTCTGCAATTTTTTTTTATTAATAAAAAAGGTGACTTGCTTTTCATTGCACACTGTGGTGCAAAGGGAGAGAAGCTGCCACACAGAAGCACAATGCATGGGTTTATACGTATCGAAGAAAAACGGCCAGCGTTCAGGCTAACATTCATGAGACTTACAGTAGGACCAAGTGAACAGATTCGCTGCCTCTCCCTCCCCCCCCACCTCAGCTTTTGCCCAAAACTTGAACCTGAACTGAATGACTCTTTCTTGAAACAGTTTCACCTTTCTCTCTGCTATTCATCTGCATGCACCCATGGAAGCAGAAGTGACCTGATCCTGTCAGAGGGGATTCTCTTGGGCTCCCTCCAACACTGTCACAGCAAGAAATACCAGGGATCTAATGTGAGAGGCAGATTTCCAGCCCAGACACAACCGTCTCATCTTAGTGCCATCGGACATGCAACGGGGTGTCAAGGTGCCGTGTTATTTTATATCCCAAGAGGAATCCACCTTCCCTCCCCCAGGAAGCTCTTGGGATGTACATGCTGGAGTGGCAAATCTGCCACTCTGGGACAGGGTGTAATGTGCCCCCTGCTTGGCCAACTCTGAGGGCTGGTGCAGAGCAGTGGGCGGGGCCACGGACACCCCCTTTCAGACAGGTGTGGAGTATGTGCTTATTAAGAAGAAGCAGGGACACGACTCTTCACAAGGGCACTGGGCAGCCTCTGAATAGGTGCATGCTGGGGGAGAGGTGGAAGAACCCACGCAGGGGCGCAGCAGACATTTCCTTCATCTTACTAGATCCAAGAAGTGCAGATAGCTTGGATACGGATTCAAACTTTTTACAGCTTGCTCCTGTTGAACACAAATTAGTCCCATGGCAAAGACAAGATGCAAAGTCAGATGCTCTCACAATATACTTATGCACGACCCAGCCATGTATGCACACTCTAGAGCAAAGGTTGGTTTAAAACAATACAAACCCAGAACCATGTTTTTTTTATTTATATGTTACTGAAAAAAATCCCCTTTCCCCCAAAATAGGTGGCAAATGGGGGGAGGAGGGAAAGGCGAAAGGAAGGTAAAGGAATGGGAGGGAACACCAGAGCGATATCTCAATTTCCATCTGTTAGAGATTAATCAAAGCGTCCTTAAAAGTTAGACCAAATCTTTTCACATTTGTCTGAAGTCCCTCTTCTTCCAGATGTTACTGGCTCTTTAGCTGCCAGGTCAGCCAAGGCGCTGTGCCAAGCTTCTAACCCTGGAGATAGTCTGTTCTTCCATCATTCTGAGCAATAACCACAGTTTGGCTAGAAGCACTGCTCTGGAGAGCCAAGCTTCATTTAGAGAGATATTTTAAAATGGGGAGTGGTCCGACTTAGAACAATTCAGGAAGGTACATCAGAGGCCTTGCTGACATGGGAAAGTTTTACTAGTTATTCCGATATAGTTACACCAATATAACCCCCAGGTAGATACTCTTCTTCCAATATAATAGTGGCTTTTTGGGTTTACCTTAAACCCCTTCCTGAGCTAAATAAACTAAACTGTTGATTTAAATTCACACATTTAGATTATAGCAAAAAAACCACAACATTCCTGAGCAGACTAGTGGTGATCTCATGCCATTGTCATTCACAGCCAAGAGTCAAGATGTTCACTGTAATACTTAACGGCTTCCCAGCAATAAAGATTCCTACAACAACTCCATCACCTGGTCCATCCTTTTCTCTGCTAATTTTCATTGCAATGTCAGGATTTCAGAGACGGCCCATGTTCAGTACGTTTTCATACGCTGCAGAGATGCTATAAAATAACACAGGCCAGATTCTGAACTTACCAGAGTTAATTAAAAATAGTTATTCTGAATCCACTAAATAAAATCAGAGTCCGGTCCATTATTTCTACATTCTGCAGTGACTTAGGCTTATGGTTACATTTCTTTCAAAGGAAATAATGTTTCCTTTAAAAAAAATGGAGAGAGAAAATAATGAGGACTTTGCTTAAGGTAAAGATTGTTTAACATAGTCATAAATATCCTCAGATTTACATGAAGCACTGTGAACATTTTAATTCTGTTTACCTGTCTGTGAAGCAGATCTAGGAACTGGTCTTGTGATGGAACTGGCATTACATTTAGTCTGGGCTAAGATGGTGTTCTCAAAAGCATCTGTGACAGGAAGTAGAAGTTTGTCACTTACTGAGATTCTTCTTAAAAGTGAATAACTGAACATGGACCCACTACCAAATGTATTCCTTTACTGCCGAAAAAAAGCACGTTTGATCTCTTGAACGCAAACACTGCTGCAATCACATCGGCATTCCACTAAAACACAGATGCAATGTGAGATGTGCAGAGAGCAAACAGAGCAAACCAAAGAGAAATGTGGATGTCATTTATTGACTGAAAAATAATTGTCAGGTGAATGGTGCAGTATTCCATTCCTCCAAAGTTACCTTATTTTCCCCCGTAACATACTGTCCTTGCAGCATTTGCAATACTTCTGTAGCTCCTCGAGTTTGTTTTGGGTGGTTTTCAATAACCATGCAAATGACGACTAATAAAAACCATACATTGTTCCTCCTGACCAAGAATGAATGAATAATTCCTAATCAATGCAAATTGGTTGGGGAGGTTTAGGGTTTTTCACAGCAAAATCAATCCCTTAATGTTACCAATTGTATCTCACTTGGATCTTTGGAAGCAGCAGCATCCACAAATAAAGATGTGACAATGGTCATGGTTTCGTGTTAAGAGAGACGGGGTATGCTACTCAGTAGGGGATCAGGATGATCCTGCACTCAGGAGCTGGAGTCACCAGGGAGAAGAAAACTGAACAACCCCCTTTTCATCTGTGCCCTGAACCACAGCCCCCTGACTGTACGCAGGACTGTTTCCTTCATCCTCTGAAGTCCAGCTTCCTCTGCTGGGGTTCATAAGGCAGCTGGCCCCGAATATCGGATTGGTTCCATCACTGACGAGCCGCTCACCCCTTGCCTACACAGATTTCTGCAAAGCAGCACAGATGAAGGAAGCGTTCTGCAGTTTACCTCTCCTTGGATAGCCCTGGCTCATGAGTCCTCCCTATACCCTGACTCTATGACCTAGCTTTGTCACAGCCAGCCATTGACCATTAAAAGGGGACACTGTGCCATGCAAGCATGTGCTGTTCCAAGTACATGGTGGCGAATCCCACCCTGAATTGTGAACTGGTTAGCATCCTTTGTTCAATTCAGATCTGTCTCTCCCCAGTGGAAGAATATGCTGCAGGTAATAGTCTTAAACTCTGCTTGAATGAAATGAAACACTGCACCTTTAATGGACAAAAATGCCTGTGTCTAGCCTTCTCTCTATGCAGCATACATAAACCCCCTGCTACCATTACAAGTGTGATGTCTGGGGAGAGTGGAAAGGGACAGGGATGGCCAAACTAGAATTTGCAGGTCAAATGCAGCATAGGGATTATCGAATGCTGTCAGTGCCACTCTCCTCTTCAATGTGACGGTGCAGCTCAGTGAGACTTTTTATTAAAACTAAGGCAGAATGTCATTGACCCCACTTAATGCCAATTAAGTGCCATTCCCTTGATACGGTGTCAGAAGGGTTCCCATCTGGGCAGCACTGCAGTTAATTTCTCCTACTTTGGATCGATGAGATGACGAAGGACCCAAATGGGATCCAGTTTCTGCTTCTGAATAACTCTCAGCCCCCACCAAGTCAGCGGGCTCTGACCCTTATAGAGAAAGAAAACAGCCACAAAATCCAGATTTGGCACTGGGTCCAGATTCTGGAACTTCACTGCCTTCCCAAAGGGAGTTTGGACCTGGGGCTTTGATTCAGGCCCATCCCTAAATGAGATTCTTTAAACATAGCTCAACTAATGAGGTGACAAGCATAAACTGAGACACTAAACTCATAAATCATTGTGGATTTTAATGTAATCTACCACCAGTGATGAAGAGATATGGATGGTATCAATGAACTATGGAGAAGAATTACATGCACGATGCCAATACTTGTACCTTCAAACCCCAGAGGAGTTGGATCACTCTTTATTTCATGTCTCTTGACTTTAACTGCAGAACCCAGGGGACCTGTGTGAAGTTTGCAGATGCACAAGATTATAAATGTAGTTAGAAGTACAACTTTTTTCCCCATTATCTGTTTGTGAGAAACATGATCTGGAATTACTGGAACTGACCAGTGTAAAGAGCGTAGGATAACGCATTTACTAAACAAAACAAACAAAATCCAAAAAAACCAAAACAACCCACTAAGCAATTCTGGAAAAGGGGAAGAAAAACACTTTTGTGATATGCACTAAGAAAAAACCCCCTCTTGCAACTTTGATCATTTACAGTTTAAGTAAAATTGAGAAAAAGTAACTGGCCCCAACTTTTATGGACTTTCATCTCCCGTTTGTCCAGCAGGTGGCACTAGGCCATCCAAATGTCTCAGGGAAGACACAGCTTTGAGAACCACCTCAGCAGGGCTCTGCCTTGGATCAGTGAATGTACCAGAGGCATACTCTTGAACAAGAGAGGATGCCATTGTATTCTGGGTTGCAGGGTGCCCCTTGCAAGTTGATTTACTGGTAGTCATCCCGTGCCCTGCTTCACATCCCCAAGGTGAGATGATGTGATGGGGTTAGTCTGTTACCAGGGAGGATAAGAGAACAATGGCAAGTAGTGGCCCTTGAATGAGCAAATGAGAATCTTGACTGGCTCTGTACTTGGGTAAGGGCAAGGCAAAGTTTATGCTTTGGGCATGTCACCCAAAATCTTTCCTTAAAGTACCTGACAGCAATAAAATATGTAATTGAAAATCATTGACTCTGCCTTGCATCTCTTAAAATCATTCATAATCAGGTTTCATTTCTCACCTTCCGGCCAAGAAACCTGCCCACCAATCTTATTTTGATTAAAATCTCCATTATGATTTTTGGATTGGAAACTCTCACAATGCACTTGATATTTCATTATAATTTATACACATTTTCTTCAATAAGCCAGTCCACAAAACAATGCCAGGGATATGATGTTCCCTCTCTGCTCCTCCGTGCAGCTATGGCTTCCCATTTCCTCTCTTACCTAGTCACACTGTATATCACACCAGCCTACCCACAGCTAAAATGGCAATCAGGCATCTCTCTCCGGAGCCACAGTCCGAATGAGGATAACAGATGAAAAGCTCTTTCTCCACACTATGTCCATTACATCCAGAGCATCACTAACACAGGTTTCAGGAGCGCATCATCTCTTTGCTCAGGCAATGGCTTAGCTCATATTCTTCAATGCAACTCAAAGCCAACTGTGCTAAGAATAAGGGGCTTGATCCCATGTAGATTTTGCTTAGCTCTAAATTTTACTAAATGAATTTAGCTACTTTTTCTGTTTGTGAATTGCCCGCAAACAGCTTAAAGTTTGCTCCAGTTTCTTCGTTAGCTCTGAGTACTTTCTGCAAATAGCTCTTGGCCTATAAATTGTTCTGGAGTGCTGTATTGTGAAGACTGCTTGACAAATGCACACACAGATCTCATGGTGATATGCTTCAGTTTCCTCACTGTTGGATGAACATGACTCTTACAATCATGTGTCTTGTGCAAACCCTTGCATTTGTGAGCTCAGAACTGACCACTTCCATTCATATTTTCTATTATCCAAGTCTGCTGTTTCTATGAACATTCCTGCCAGGGAATGTGTCCGATAGACTAGTCACAGGAAGAAAACGCAAAACGGGTGCAGACTCAGGCAAAGCAAATTCAATTTCTGTGAATATTGGTGGGACTTGTTTGAGGTATATTCATCCAGATAGATCATGAAGTCGACAACAAAACTCCCATTGATTTCAATGGAAAGGGGATCAGGTTCCATATGCATGCAAATGTTTCAGATACATAGGCCCAGCTGGGCCTCTCTCTCTCTCTGCAGATGACATATTCTGGCCCTGATCACTCTCCCTCTGCAGCCCTCTGCATATATCAGACTTGAGCCTGATGTACAGACTTATCCCTTAAACATAAGTGTTTGGCAGTAGATGTATCACAGTCAGCGTGAAGGGGAACCAGGCTCGCCTAGCAGGCAGTATGACAGTACCTTTGGTCAGAGCAGAAGTGGTGACCGTGGTGCTGATGGAGGAGGCTAGGGAAAAGCGACGGGTAACTTCTCTCTCTTTAGATTCTGGATCTGGGAGAACAGAGAGATGCAGGGCAAGGCAGGGTTAGAGGTTAGTAAGCAGAGGAGGTTATACAGGTCCAAAGCAAAGCAGCAGCTGAAAAAGGGTAAGAAGGTCAGTTGCCAAGAAATGTACAATCTCGTAAGTGACATGCATAGAAAAATATATTTTTAAAACATTTACCGTTACACCACCCTTAAGGTATTGCAGGGGGGAACCAGCACCAATTAATATCTTAGCACCAAACTAGGGTGAGTACAATTGCAAACCACACAGAGATGAACAGGACAGTTAAAATGGCACAGTTTAATAGATGGGTTATGTGGATTTTTAGAAGAAAAATATTGGAACTGTTCTGCGATGACTGGTTTACTGGTGGCTGAAAAACACTGACAAATAAACACTTCTGGGCTAGGGCCCAGGTTCGGTAAGGTATTTAGGGACTCATTGATACTCAGCGGGTGTAAATCAGCATGACTCCACTGAAGGCCAGGAAGTTTCATTGATTTACATCAGCTCAGGATCTGGAGCCCTGGATCTTTTCTTTCAAGGAGCCAAATTCAGTTCTGGAGAGAGGACACAACTTGCACAGATTTCGATGTGAGCTGTCTCCACCTCCTCCAGCTGACTTTGTCTTAAAGTATTTTGTAAAAGAGACCCGTGGACTAATTAACTGCCAGCTCCAGAAGGCAGGTGGCATTTCTAAACGTATTGAAAACCCGCAAACACTTGTTAAAGGCTTGATCCTGCGAACAAGTAGGCCTGGGAGTAACTCCGATGACACTGACTTCAATGGGACCACACTATGAGAAAATTTGCTCACTTCTGTGTGGTTCTGGATTGGGTCCTTGGGCCCTGATCCTCCAAACACGCAAGCACACAAGTAACTTGACTCAGATGAGTAGTCTCATAGATATCAATGGGACACAACCCATATGAGTAAAGCAAAACATGTGCGTAAAATCTTGATTCAGCAAAACATTAAAGGCATGTGATTTACTTTAATGGCACATGGCCTCAATGGGACTTAGCATTCGAACAGGGCTAAAATGTTCTGTTGGAACTTTTTTCCATGAGAGGTTTTGTGAAAAAAAATCTATTTTCATCCAAAACCTGAATACGTGCTATTTTCAGATGTTTGTCAAAACCCCCAAAACACTCAAAGAAAAATGTAAATGAAAACAAAACTGTTTTATTTGCACTGAAATTTTCCATAGATTCTAAGGCAGGATCATGGCCTAAGTGTTCGCAGGATTGCAATTGTATTACAGAGACCTTTTTGTTCCAGGATTCAGCAACTGAGAAAATCGGTCCCCCAGATCTTCTGAGGATCAAAAGGGAAGGAGTCCCTGGCTTTTCTGTTGCTATCCTACTCCTAGGACTAGAAGAACACTGGGGTGCAGTACACTTTATGGTGGTTTCCGACTTACAATGTTCTGAATATCTCAGTGTACTCTACAGAACTACGGTACTGTAGAGATTTAGTAGTGATCTAAAAAAAAAAAAATCTTTCACTTTCCTTTCTTTTTGTATTTCCCCATTTCAGTGTCCAGACACTAGAGGTTTTTCTGCGCCCTCATTTCTATTTGACAAACCTCACTTCTCACTGAGTCTTTCCCCTGGGACAGAAATTAGCATGGCTGGCGTAACAACTACAGCTTCTGCAGCACCTTTTCATGCCAAAACATCTTATGAGGGACACTAGCACAATCATAGAATCACAGAATATCAGGGTTGGAAGGGACCTCAGGAGGTCATCTAGTCCAACCCCCTGCTCAGAGCAGAACCAATCCCCAACTAAATCATCCCAGCCAGGGCTTTGTCAAGCCTGACCTTAAAAACTTCTAAGGAAGGAGATTCTACCACCTCCCTAGGTAACGCATTCCAGTGTTTCACCACCCTCCTAGTGAAAAAGTTTTTCCTAATATCCAACCTAAACCTCCCCCACTGCAACTTGAGACCATTACTCCTTGTTCTGCTATCTGCTACCACTGAGAACTGTCTAGATCCATCCTCTTTGGAACCCACTTTCAGGTAGTTGAAAGCAGCTAACAAATCCCCCCTCATTCTTCTCTTCTGCAGACTAAACAATCCCAGTTCCCTCAGCCTTTCCTCATAAGTCATGTGTTCCAGACCCCTAATCATTTTTGTTGCCCTCAGCTGGACACTTTCCAATTTTCCCACATCCTTCTTGTAGTGTGGGGCCCAAAACTGGACACAGTACTCCAGACGAGGCCTCACCAATGTCGAATAGAGGGGAATGATCACGTCCCTCGATCTGCTGGCAACGCCCCTACTTATACAGCTCAAAATGCTGTTAGCCTTCTTGGCAACAAGGGCACACTGTTGACTCATATCCAGCTTCTCGTCCACTGTAACCCCTAGGTCCTTTTCTGCAGAACTGCTGTCTAGCCATTCGGTCCCTAGTCTGTAGCGGTGCATGGGATTCTTCCGTCCTAAGTGCAGGACTCTGCTCTTGTCCTTGTTAAACCTCATCAGATTTCTTTTGGCCCAATCCTCTAATTTGTCTAGGTCCCTCTATATCCTATCCCTACCCTCCAGCGTATCTACCACTCCTCCCAGTTTAGTGTCATCTGCAAATTTGCTGAGGGTGCAGTCCACGTCATCTTCCAGATCATTTATGAAGATATTGAACAAAACCGGCCCCAGGACTGACCCTTGGGGCACTCCACTTGATACCGGCTGCCAACAATGGAGGACATCCTAGCTGTTCAGTAAAAAGCTTAATGCAGCCTTAACTACTGTGGTGTTGCTACTGATGCCTCAGTAACATGATTGGAAAGTTTACGCTTCTGAGATTATTATACGAATTTACTTGTAAAAGCACAAACACACTGTTCTGTGTCGGGGCATACACCTTTCTACACCCACTTATAATCCTGAAGAAACACAACAGGCCAAATTCTGCTGTCAGTTGCAACACATAATTATAATTGAATTACTCCAGATTTATGCTGCTGTAACTGAGAACAGAATTTGGCCCAGTATTTAGCGTGGCCAGATGCAATTAAAATTCCACTTTCCATTCATGGTCTTAGATCTTCTTTAGTATTTCCTTTTTTCAGGATACTGATGGTGACTTTTTTTCTCATCCAGACTCCAGCACCCCTGCAGATACATGCTAGATGCCTTTAAAAGATCAGGGAGATGATTGACTTCAGGGGCAGTTCTGAGGGTGGCAGGAAAGCAGAACTGGGACCTAGAGAGGTCAATGCCAAGATACTTACTTGCTTTTAAATAGGACTTTTTCCTTCCATGAGCTATGCAACCTGGCGAGAGTTGTTCAGAAAAGGTGTCTGCACAGTAGCCACACTGCTTGTATTGCCCAGGTCAAATCCATTGAGCAACCCCAGTATAGCCTTGTCACTGTTATTGATTATACCCCTTCTTCTAATGTGTACTGTATCTTGATGAGTCATTCTTTATAGTACTAGCAGGAGCAAAAAAAACCCCGTCACTAAACAGCGAAATGACAGCGTCCTGCAGGATATTGCATATTGCAGTTACTACCATGGGCTTCGTCCATGCCAAGAGAGGATCAAATCTCGCTCCCCTGAGTGCACAGAACAGAACAACAAACTGAAATCAATAAACACATGCATGATGTAGCATGTTTTAGATGTGTCAAAAGAATCATGAGTCAGAACCAGATCCTGCAAGTCAACGATTTGAGGGTGCTTAGCATTTAAAAAGAGTGGACCCTAAATCAACAATAGTTTGAGTAATACCCATGCTCCACAGGGATAGCACCGTAAGTATTTCAGTATTCTCCTTTGCCCGGAAAGAGAATAGAAGGAGAAGACAGATCCCACAAGGACTGAGATGATTGCAGACAGAAGAGGGAAAAAGGCCCAAACCAAAACCAAGGGTTCAAAAAGCCCCAAACTGAATTGCAGTCTGAACCTGAATCTGATTTTGACTTTTTCAAATGTTTCTGTAATTGACCAAACCAAATCTGAAAACTGCCATCCCCTGGAGTCAAAATCCAGAACTGGATTTTGCAGCTTAGACCCTTTCTCTTTAGTGCTGCCTTATCTTAGCCGAAAGGACTTTGGGGCTGCTTTGGTTTTTGGTGTGTTCTCCTCTGCTGTGTCACTTTTTAAATGTAATGCTTTCACTTTGCCTCTTTCTATTCATTGACATTTTCCTCTCCTGATGCGTCCACTCTCCATTATCCTACACTGACCTTTGGCCTCGTGGTGCACTTGGAAAGAAAATGTCACTTATCAGAACAGGAGAAAAGCAAAAAACATCAAACAGTCAGAGGTTCTGTGGCCTGCAATGTGCAGGAGATCAGACTAGACGATCATGATGGTCCCGTCTGATCTTTAAGTCTATGAGTCATTTCAGAAAACTGCTTGCAAATTTTATTGCCCGTTTTCACTGTCCAAATTACTTCCTCTTCTTCCTGCTGGCATAATGGCCCCAGAAGCGTGCAGCACTTTCCTTCCAGGGACCTTAAACACTTTCCAAACATTCATGAGTCAAGATTCACAATATCCCATTTCACAGATGAAGAAATGGAGGAACAGAGAGGTGAAGGAATAATTTCCAGATCTCCTGATTACCAGTCCCCTGACATAACCACTAGACCATGCTTTATTAACCACTGACCACAGTTTCTTACAGAGCCTAAGTGATCTCACAAATGAAAATTTAACATGTTACACCAGAAAGCAAAACATTGCTGGGTGGCTGGGTGTTCCCCACTCAAGAAGCGGTGGAAAAAGTTATTGTTGGGTATGTGTGTGAGTGTGTGTGTGTGTGTGTGTTTGTTCTGTGATTTAATAGACTTTTTCACGATGAGGCTCCTGTGAGAGGCCTGAATGCAAAAATGAACGTTTCGCATCTCGTCAGTTACGCTTTCCATCACCACACTAAAGACACAAACTTTGTGGATACTGCCATGGGAGCAATTTTGTAAAAAAGGATTGACCAGAGGAGCATGTGCGTGCGTTTGGATGGGATGCAGCAGCACCTTAGGAGGTAGTGATGGATGGCACCACGGAATGGAGAGAACATCATGGGATTGTACACAGGAGACAGATGGCTGGAGACTGAATGCTGCATGGGGTGATTTTACCTTTAGGTGGAGCTCTGCGGTTGGAAAGACCTTGTAATGTGAATCGCTTTCTAGCAAGAGCTGAGCACTCAAGGTTAAGGCTGGTGGAAGCATCAGCTAGGAGAGAGAGGCAGAGGGAAAAGAAATAAGACAGGAAGGGTCACCCTTTCAGCTTATGGGAAAGGAAAGGGTAGAGCTGGATGACAAGGAAAAAAACAAAAAAACCTTTAGATTCAGTCCAAGCTTGTGATACAGCTGAAGAGGTGACATGAAGCCAGGTAAATTAAACTAGCTGGGCCAAGCTGATCCCTGGTATAAATCAACTGAGTTGCACCAGGGATGATTTTGGCTTGCTGAGTTTCCATGGAGAGTAAAAACAAAAAACTGCGGAGGAATGTGGCTATTTGAAAAGGAAAATAAATACAGTTTAGCAGCAAGTTAATTAAACACATAACCTGGTGCCTTGTGCTGTGAAAAAGTGTCGCTGTGATTTTAATAGGCAGCAGCTCCTGGCTCCAGTGGGAAATAAGAGATGAGGCATTATCATGCAGGAAAAATATTGACAATGAGTATTTGTCACCTCAACCCACTAGGCCACTGCTGTGGTATTTCACTTGGAAGTCTAAATCGGTTACTCAGATGCTTCCTGTGATTTAAGCCTTACCGGCTGACATCTTTCCAACAGCCTCCATGCAATTCAGCTGGCATACAATGATGCACTGTATCACTTGATTAGCTGGGATATCTTCTCTGCATTCACATGCCAATAAAACTAACAAACCAATCCCCTACCTGAATAAACAGTCAAGCTCCCTGATAATTACATTTACTTGGAGAAGTCACAATCACCCACACATATTAGTAAAAGAAATGGACCTGAACCCAGGTCCCAGATCCAAACACAACTGCCAAACTTTGCATGTCTTCTATCTCTATAATGGACATGTCACACAGGAAAGTCTATGGCAGAGCAAGGGCTATAAACCAGGTCTCCTCACTCCAGATCCTGTGTTTTGACCACTTGACCATACAGGCCCTCTGCCTTACACTGTCACTATCTCACTGCCAATTGATTTCACCAAGGAGAAGCAAATGGAGACCTGAAGTACCAGGGAAACACAGAGAGACAATGCATCCAGATAATATCCAGACTGACAAGCAACAGACACACTGTGATTCCAAAGACAAGCACATCCCATCACTTCCTGGTTTGCAGACAAGCTGCTATACAAAGGGAACGATACATAAGTGTGTGTGTGTGTGTGTGTGTGTACTAGCATTTTGCAAGGAATATAAAAGGAATAGGTTCTAAAGATGCCAAGAACAGGGAAAATAAGGTTTTTGTACATCCCATCCTTTTAAAGCAAGGGGCATTTGTTCATGGCATTTGGTCACTAAGGAGTCACAAGGAAAACTGTAAGATGTGTGTGTGTGTCTGGGGGTTTCACCCTAATTTTAAAGTGTTTATTAATGTGGGGAAAAGGAGAAAGAAATCAAATACTTAACTTCAAGTCCTATCTCTGCACAGACGGGTGCACTAGGACATTTTGACCACAAGTTCCCATTGTTTCCCAATGTTCTGTGTTGCTTAGAAGTTGGGCTTCAAGTTCTACATGTTGTACCACCCTGAGTTGCCTCGAGACCTTCACTTTCTTCTGCAGCCATAGTGAGTTGCAATAGGCCAGGTTCCCATACTGAATGCATCCTCTTGACCAGCTGATTTCGGCACTTCTGCTTGCGGAAGTCATTTGGGCTACAGTGTGTGTGTGTGTGTGTGTGTCTAGATGTAGGACTAGAGTTTTCAACAAGTCAGGTGCACAGATGTATGCCTAATTTGCAAATATCACAACCGCACATGCAAATCAGGTAACTGCCTGCAGAAACTACTATATTTATCTATTTGCATGCACAAGTATATGATGTTCGGATACAACTGCATGGACAAATTAAATGCCCATTGTACATATGCCTGATTTAAAAATCAGGTCTATGCATAACTCCTAGACTTGAAAGGGTTAGATTTTTATTGGTAAATGTTGACCAATGAAAAAAATATTTCCATTGATAATAATCAAGATTCACAATTAGGTAAAGTAAGAAAAATGCAGCTTGAGAACTTATTAGAGACTGTCATTAAATAATTATGGTCTGAACCCTGTTAGCTGACCGTCCCCGGCTAAATAATCAGCCAGTTATCTTCTGAAGTTTACTTTAGCTTACACTGCGATTTTAAAAAATAACCATGGACATAATTGACTAAGTTCCGACTGTAAGTTTTGTAAAACCTTGTTTTCAATGTTAAGCTTGATTCATCCCAACAGTCTGAAGAATCCAGAGCTGGGTGTACAGAGATATAAATATCAGCGCCATGGGGTAACATTCCACAGTGCCGCGGAACCCCTACCTCTCTTTTGTCTAGTGCTGGGACTGGAGTTTCTGCTCCTGTCGTTAGATGTTTCCCGGTTTGATGGCTCAGATTTATTTTCATACACGCTTGATGACTTCCTGCTATATCTTTGGGCAAAAGAAACAAAACCATTATTAGGTTATCACACGGTGACTGAAGGCACCACTTTTATGTTAATGTCCTCCTCAGCGGGCTACCATGGTGTTGTAGCTATGACATAACCAATAATTCCATCCCCTTGTTCCCCACACACATAACTTGAGCACTGACTCCAGCCTTTCGTGTTACATCCTGTTGGTGGGAAACATTAATCAGAGATGGAGTGCGACTGGAACCTCAGATCAGAACCAGTTCAAATTTGGGGTGAGGGGTTGGTTTGGATAGAAATCCCTAGATCCAAACCCACCCCTATGCTTTTGGTGAGTCAGCTCCCAAACTAGAAGGGACCCATTTCTGGCTCAGATGTGGCCAGAATCATTCTTGACAGATTTTGGCACAAAATGGTGGAAAACTCAGGAAAGCAGCCAATCTTGTGAGATTTCCACCATTCTGGGCCAAAATTTCATCAAAAGCAGCTCAGGAGATTCTGGTGCCACTGACTGCAAGATCAGGTTCTGATATGGCCTGTGAAGCCAAACCCTGAATACCAAGACCAAACCTAATCCAGATCTGGATCCAAATCACCCCTTCTCACCCTATTAACTTCTGCAAGCGACAGCAGAGTGGCACGGGTGTCATGATTTTTTAAGAGTGTTTATTAGTAGCAGAATGAGAATTCTGCTGAAAGAACAGAGCATTTGGTTACAAGAGGATCCCCTCTCTACCCTATGCTCCCTGCTAGGACACTTTCTTTCCCAACAGTGGCCAGTCCCAGCTGCTCTGGAGGATGGTGCAGTGGCCTTAAGAGTGCACAATTCTGGAATAACCTGCCCCTAGGAAAGTTTCTAAATGACCACGTCAGTTCAGTGTTGGCTTACGCTGTGATACATGAGGGGTTATACCACTTCTACACATGTCTTATCCCCCCAATGTAGCTGTGGATATTCTCATTATCCTCACTATGATTTTTGTAATCCTACTAAGGGCTTCACCCCAATGATGTCTAGCAACATCACATGCCATCTGCATGCCTCAACCTTCCTTTCCATAAAATGGGGATGATAATAATTACCCACCTTACAGGACCTTTGGGAAACATAGCGCTTTCCAAATATCTGCGCTGTAGGACCCACAGAGAAGGCACAAAGTGTTATTTTATACCCCTATGCTTTTGAACTATTGGAGATAAAGTGAATTTATTTCCTAAACCACAGAGCATTCTGAAAGCCACTTTTTTATTTAGAACATCTGACCTGCTTTCTATGGAATATCACCCAAGGTTTATGAATCTCTTTGGACTAAATTTGAATCTGTTCTTGAAACTAGATGTAGGGGATTATTTTTAAAATCAACAAGGGAACAAATCCAAAACATACTGACATTTTTGCATTGTTCTCTTCTAACAGTTTCTCTCTTGTTATGCTGAGATAAGCTGTAAATGTGCAGCTGATATAGGAAGAGGCTACCTACTGGGTCCCCTCTGACAGTGGGAAAGAGATCAGCGAAAATTTTATTAAAGCGAATGTTCAAATTATATAATATACAGGTTGAGAAAAGAGTGTTTCTACATCTGGGTATAGTGCTTAGATTATCCACAAATACAAAGTTTGTTTTTAAAGTCATAAGATACATATAGTGAATAATCAGCAATAACCCAAATTTAGGTGAATGAATTTAAGAATGCAGTTTAGATATTGAGCATCCAAGTATTTGGGTACATTACTCATGAAAAAAGTTATACAGAGAGGTTGGTGGCGGAAAGCAAAATATATCAACGAGTGAAGATTGTCCCTCAGTAATTGAGAATTTAGGATAGGTTGTTCATTTAGAAAAAACAGTCCACCAGGAAAGTATTTGAGTTACTTTCCCGACTGCGCTTACTACAGCACTTATGTCTCCAAACTTCATCTCCAGGAAAATAAAATAGCGTTTCAAAGGAGAGATGCTTGGTTTGTGTAGCCACCTGTCTTCATGTACAGTATATGTATACATGGATATAGGACTAAATTGTTTGCAAATAAGCAGAAAATGAAAATAGTAATTCATTTATAGTTAAACATTTAAAGTTATGGCCCATTTAAGTTTCGTAAACTGAAATAGATATAAAAATACATAAAGGGATTGTTTCACCATCACTGAAATGTCATACCTCTTGGATGAAACACCTACTTAACAATGCACAAAAGCAGCACATAATTGTCCAGGGTAGGAACTGAAGCTGTGGGGTGAATTTAGATAAGCAGAATTTAAATGAGCAGAGTTGCAATTTAGCCAAGACACCAAGGTTAACACCATTCCTCTTGCAAAAAGTGCCCTGCGATCTTTAATTACCACAAGCATCCAGGATAGTGGTTTTGCAAGTCTTTGTCTTCTGAAAGAGTTGTTACAGCATTTGACTACAATCTTGAAGGTTGCAGGTTTGAGTCTCACATAATCTCATGCTGAAAGGCCACCTCCAATTCACTCAGAAGCTATAGGGCTACATCAGGTTAGGGAAGTCACAGGCAGGTGGATGCGATACTGGTCACGTCACTCCCTGTACTGGTAGCTGTGAAACTGATGTTCCTTTACTGTGTCAGCCCGATGAGCCGCTGCCTTGGGGAACTCTGACTTTGACTACTTCCTGCTGAACACTGAGTTTTCCTATGAGGTCTCTGCTCCAAATACTGACCCAGCCCAACCCGGCTTTATCTTGTGGAATCACAGCACAAAGTGGGTGTGGCTGCTTATGACTAGATGAAAGAAAGCATACTGCATAACAACACAGAGATGGCATCATCCAGTCAGACTTCTCTGGTGTTGCAATGAAGGTTTACTGTATTACTGTAAAGAACATAACAGCTGTTACATTTTATGTGTGAGCAACCCAGGATGGGCTGTATTTCTATGGATGAAACAGTCTGATGAATTAATTAGTTTCTAGCCACAGGGGCACTGGTGATACAGGTTGCTCTTCCGACAATATTGTTGCTGAATTGGAATTAACCAGTGCATCTTTTCCAATCACAGGGTTGCTCAGGCTTGTCACAGTCATAGGGAGATCATCCTCTACATGGGAGCATGTCACAGGGTGTGTCTGTCCTCTGAATCCATGTCTCCTTACCTCTGGGTCCACCCAAGAAAATCCATGGAACCCCGACCATGCAGAATAGCTATTTATGGACATCAGCAGGCTCAGGGAAAGGTTCACTCCTTCTCTTCTGTTGGCTTAGGACATTTTGTACCCTAATTCCTGTGTCTTTAATCCCACTGAGCCACATAGTAGAGAGGATCATGGTCTCCTTGGTTAGGATAGCTGGTGGGACAGATTGTGTCAGAGTTCCTTCATAAAGGCCTCTCCTTTGCCCCACTGCCCATATTAGCAATCACCATGCACCATGCCTTGCACTGTTGTGACAGTTTGGACAAAAGGTGTTTTGTCCAACATCCTCTTTCCCTAGGTAGTCAAGACAGTAAAATCCTCATTTTTCCTTCTGTTTAATCTGCTGTAGGTTAAACTAACATATGCGGCCAGTGGTTCCTCGAGTTAATTAACCATTGGCTGTAGTATTATACCTAGTATTTCTGCTTTGGAAACTCAAGCATTTTACATTGCCATGTCATAGGGTTAAATATCTGGCTTGGTTTGATAAATTTTTCTGGTTGCATTTTACTTTCATTGGAATTGTTTTCTCTTTCTGTCCTCTGGACAATTTTACCCAGAGATCTTCACCCTCATTAAACCTCATTAACCTCATTAAAGTCCATGATCCTTTTCAATGGGTCAATTTCAATTGACCCTGCTGCTGATCAAATTCATGGGTGCCTGTGGTTCCTTTAGAAAAGCAAACTCCAGTCTGTTGAGTGCATTTTGCTTTGAGATTATGGGTTTGTACAAACGCAAAATCTTTGTCTGCATTTATGTGGGTTGAGGACAGTGAAGAAGACAATGCTATGCCTGGGAAGCAACACAGCACATTCGTAATTCATCTGCACCTAAAGTTACTGAGACTGGAAAAGGTAAAAGATATTCTGATATCAATGCTTGGCAGGTCACCATTCAGTCTGTGATTACCTGGTTGAGTTGGAGGAATTCATCGGTGCATGGTACACACTCTCCGTGATTCTTTGGTGTAGCTGGCTTGCTTCTGTTAGAGAAAGAAAAAAAAATAGCTCCAAATTGCACTGATCATTTCCTTTTTGTGGACACATAAGAGAACATGGCAAAGAAGACTGGACTCAGGTGTTGAATTAATAATAACTAGAGAAGGATCCAAATCAGATCCCTGGATCCAAATACACCTGAAATGTGCTGCTCAGGTGAAAATCTTCAAGTTAAAACACAGGACACAATATTTTGGGGGCATCACTAATGAGTTAGAGAATCAGTGAGATACTGCTTGTATCATGGCTTAAACCCAAGGAAATTTTGATAAAACAGGCAGCAAGGGTGGATCTACCTCCGTGACACAGATAACCCACTATACTAGCCCTGTATGGCTCAGCCCAGATTCCCTGTAGTACGTCCTATGGAATATAAGTTTTCAGACCACCACTTGAACACCTCCTCTCCACTCATGTCTTCACAGCACTATTCAACATTTTTTAGGGGTCTGCAAATGAAAAAAGATTGAAAACCACTGTTCTAGAGGCTTCAATTATTTATAATTTCTGTCTCCCTCTGAATGCAGTAGAGTTGGAGTCACAGTAAGGAAGGCAGCCTGGTTTACAGATGGAGCAGGGAGGAATGTGAGAAAAGGCACCCATAATATATATTTTAAAACCTCTCTATGCTATTTCTAAAAGACTCTTTTTCTGTAAGATACATGGCGCAAACAGAATGCATGTGCCACCAAGGCACTCACTTGGGATAACCTGCATCCCTCACTCTTGGCTTCACCACTCACGCATGAATCCACCCCAAACTCATACCAGTGAAACTTTAATAGCATACTGCATTCACACACCCCCTCTTTTAGAGTTTCTTTGCAAGCTACTTTTCACTGCTGAGTTCATCCATTTTCTTGGCCAATTTTTTTTTTTACCTGATTTTATCTCATTGCTGTGGCACGTTTAATGCAGGTTAAAGGACAGGTGCCGGAACTAGGTGTACTGCTGCACCCCCTGGCTTGAGGTGGTTTCTGGCATATACAGGGTTTACAGTTTGGTTCAAGGGCTCTCAGCACCACCCCCACTCTACAAATTGTTTCAGCACTCCTGGGTTAAAGGCAACAGTTCCTAAGGAAGAATTATATAAGACCTCACTGTACAGTCTGTATTGCCCATAGAATCACAAAGCCTAACATATTAATGCTTCTTTATCTCTCTCTCTCAGGTACTTAAATGGGCCATTACCACAATATTTGAGCACCTCACAATCTTTCCTGTATTCATCTTCACAACACCCTGAGAGATCAGGAAGTGCTACTACTCCCATTTTAGAGATGGGAAACAGGCCCAGAGAGATTAAGTCACTCACCCAAGGTGACACGGGAAGTCTGTGGTGAAGCAGGGAATTGAACTGGGATCACCTTTATCTTAGACTAGCACCTTACCTACTGGACTATCCTCCCTCTCATTTTCATGTTTTATGAGCAAGGCAAAAGACTGATGCTCACTAGTTTAATAAGGGTCAAACTTCAGTCATGTGTTTCACTTACAAACAATTACGCTGATTTTCAACATATTGGGCCTACTCTTTCGGATTTCATTTGGCAGCACGTACCCGTTCAATAACCCATTTTAGCTGCCCCCTGTTGAATGTCAGATACAGAGTCAATGCAACATCACGAAGATCACACACTATGTCCTACCTCTGCATGCTTCCAGTTGTCCTGTCAGGACTTTTCTAATCTCAGAAATCCAGATGTTTTTCAACTCAACGGAAGATGCCTATAAACACAGGAAAGGTGCAAAGCAGATATAGTTCAATGACATTGGCAATCCTACTGCTGCTTTAACCTAAAATTTACTTTTAGCCCTTCCTTGTGAGAAAACTCTATGACCAGAACTGGGACCAAAAAAGCGTAGGGCACTTTACAAAATGAAAAATTACATTGGATCTAAAAGTTCCCATCATTATTTTTCTATCTGGACTCCCGAGTCATTTTCCATCATTTTCTTTTCTTTTTCATCCACACCAAAGTCATGACAAATTTCCTCAAAGATAAAGGTGATGTTAGAACTTCATGAGCAGCATGACAGGGCAGGCTCAGAATCACAGTTGTTCTAGTAATGTGAAAAGAAAAGGCGTACTAGTGGCACCTTAGAGACTAACCAATTTATTTGAGCATGAGCTTTCGTGAGCTACAGCTCACTTCATTGGATGAAGTGAGTGAGCTGTAGCTCACGAAAGCTTATGCTCAAATAAATTGGTTAGTCTCTAAGGTGCCATTAGTATGCCTTTTCTTTTTGCGAATACAGACTGACACGGCTGCTACTCTGAAATCTAGTAATGTGCTTATTCTGAGAAAGGGAGTAACATTAAAATCACAATCTAGTTTCCTTCATATTCTCTCTGTCTCCACCACTAAAGGAAATTACAACGTTGTTAAAGGAAACATGGCTGGAAGGAAGCAAACTCCTTTAGAGAAACCATTGTCTTTACCTGAATGATATAGACCTCTTCTCGGCCATTATACCAGATCTCAAACTTCTTGTTATCACCCTTTACATTTTCTGTGATGCCAACAGTACTCATCTGTTTCAAAATAAAAAAGGAAAACCAGGAACTTAATGTTAACTTACTTTTAAATTATATTCCCTCTGAAGGGCACTATAAAAAGGACCTGTCCTATTCTGGATACCTTTACAGAGTGCATAAAATATGTTCGAATTATTTTTTAATCAACATAAAATTCACCATTGCATCCTTTTGCATCATTGCATCATGCCCTGGCTGGGATGATTTAATTGGGGATCGGTCCTGCTTTGAGCAGGGGGTTGGACTAGACCTCCTGAGGTCCCTTCCAACCCTGATATTCTATGATTATATGATTCTTTTAACTGTCAGTATTTCTCACTAAGAGATTACAGAAAAGCACTCAGTAGCTGCACATTTGTTAAATTCAAATGTTGACCCTGTGAAGTGCTGATCACTGTGGTCCCCATCCAGCAAAGAACTTAAGCACGTGAATGGTCCCAGTGACTCCATCATCAAATGTAAGTGCTTTGCTGGATCAGGACCTTGCAGATCACACCCCAGGGCTCTGTGAAATGATCTCTCTTCCTGTGTGCAGGCCTGTTAACTTCAGTGGTGTTCCATGCCAATGCAGGACTCAGCCCGCACAAATCTTATTGGGGAACTGGGGCCTAAGATGCTTGTGGTAAGGACTTGAGTGCTGAGCACCCACAACTCCCTTAGCTTCCATGTTCAGCATCTCTATGGATTAAGCCCTAAGGCTGCAGCTTGGCAAATCATATCATGTAAGAACCTGGAGGGGGATTTAGGACAAAACTGTAGTACTTTTGATAGTTTCCAGACACATGAGGACAAAAGACTAAAAATATCAACACAACAAAGCTAATGTCTATAATTTTATAAAACTCTTATATTGTATTTCTCATCTCCCAGATCACCAGGTTAGATACAGAGTCTGTATTACACACTGCACTAATGCAGTCAGCTATATACTGTAGGTGTTTTCTACTAAAGGTTACCTCCGATATTCCTGTTTTTACACGTGTTCAGATTGTATTATTTGACAAGTCGAATGCAATGATAGAAAGCAAGGCCATATTTTAAAACATATACACAGGGGAACACAGCTAAAGTTGGGTGATGAAACTTAACTCTGCATTACCTGACTTCTGAGTGCTTGGTTGCTCAACCTTAACTAGACAGTTGTCTAGCAAGTAAAGGCCTACTTGGGTGCCCTCACTACTGTAGGACTGGGTGCTTGTTTTTAATAGTGTATATACAGCAAAGCTAACGGCTCTCCACCTCTGCCCCTCAGCATGGGGAGGGAAAATTCTTTATACGTAGGCTTGTAAGGATTCAATTTTTATCACTAAGTGTTAGTAAATATCGATTTCACTGGCCACATACAAACGGCTGAAAAAACATTTCCATGAACAATCATCAAAATTTACAGATAAGCCTTTGCCTGACAAACATTTGATTTAAGGATATTTACTTTTGTATATTTTGACATGTGATGGGGACAATTTGTGTTTTAATGGTTATAAAGCTTTAACTTTTTGAATCTCAATGTCTATTATCATGAAATAATTATTAGCTGCCCTCCCCCAATTTTGAGCAACTGAAACATTGAAATAGATAAAAATCTTTAAAAATGCTTAAAATACACACTGATATGATCTGTCAAAATCATAAAAAATAAAAAGAGAATTCTGCCAAGTGTACTTATAGGGACGAGGCCCTCCACCTACAGATCCAAAGAGCAGGAGCTCGCTCACATGCTATAACATACGCCAAATTGGAATTCTTATCCAATCTTAGATACAATACACACATACTCTATTACTTTTATGTTTTTGAACAGCTGATGCCTTCATAAACAGACATGATTAATGGCTGGTGTATTGCAACGTCACACACACTGAGCCAAATGTTGTCCCAGATGTTGCCAACTGAAGTCCAAAGGATCACACCATTGTACAGTACTTGATGGGAGAATTTGACCCCCAGTAGTGTAGCTAATGTTAATAAACAATGTCAGGATTCAGGCGTTGGCACATCACCCCAGGAGTCATTTCAAGAGTCATCAAGTTTTTTGGGATTCGTTTGTAGATATTTTTGTAACAGAATATAGGTTGGAGTTCACAAGCCCAGTCCTGCTCCATTGCAAAAATCTACATCCACATTCACATCCACTCCACATCAAAATCCAGTGCTAAAACTAGAGCATGACGGGGCCCTCTATCTAGAACAATGAGAGACGGACCCAAAACCTGCTTATCCCTGCTCCTCTCTATAGGACGTAGCCAATGCAGAACACTTGAGGCTTCACTCTGTACTGAGCTAACTAACTTCCCCTGGAATCTGGGGCCCTTTCTGCTACAGAAGTCATGGAGTTCAGATGAAAATTCAGATCCAGATTTCAAAAGCTTCCAGGGTTGTGGGTGATTCACCAAATCATTAAGAGAGGGGTCCATTAAAAAATTCAGAGCCAGACCTGGTTTTGGATTTCGAAGACGCCTGAAGTTCCAGGTTCATTGGCCCATCTCCAACAGGTGTTTCACCCAATTAAAAATAAGACCATTCCCAGAGCTGCTGCCTTATTCAACTTGCCTCAATAGAAAAGGTCTTTCATACTTCTAATCTTGTCTTTAAAACGTCCACCTCCATGCTATTTTAAACTTGCTTCAATAGTGGATATATACCTCACCTCTCCTTCTGTACCATGCCCATTACCTTTAAAGAATTCTTAAAGCTGTATGAAGGAGACTTCTCATGGCCGTCTGTGTTTTCGTCCCGTTTCTTGCAGAAGAGCAGGATCTTTGTGTAGAGAAAGAGGTGTCTCTGCATCGGTTTGAACCTAGCCAAGTCCTTCACCTTGCTATGGCCCTTCTTGTGATCAGTCCAGATGTTGAAGGAGCCCTGCATCAGCAGCTTACCAAGCTCATGCACGTCTCCCTGTCGCACAAGAGTGGGGAAAAGAAGGGTTTTCACGTGGGTGACATTCAAACCAGAAAAACGTAGGGCAGACTCATTTTCCCCACTGTTTAAATCAAAGGATTGATGGGTGTGACTAGGGAACCAAAGGTGCCCATTGGGGGCCACAGCACTGGGCTATCTAGGGCGCTTGGGATCAGCATGCAGCCAGGGCTAAGGAGTCAGCTGAGTGCTTCACTGACTAGCTCTACTCCCCAGCTATAATATCTGTGGCTCATAGTGGGGTTCACAAGCCCAATACTGGGCATAGGCATAAGGGACAGGAGCATCTTCCCTGCTTACAGGTGATCAGACTGACCACACCCCAACACAGCTGCCAGAACGGCCAGTCATGGAGACATGCACCCACAGCTGCGACCAATAAAGAAAACAAGCCCAGCTACACAGGAGGGAGAACAGAATGGGATAGCAGAGGGGGAAGGTTCCCAGGCCAGGTTGCCCGTAAGACACTGACACAGAGACAAAGGAGGCCTGCAAGCCCTGGAGTTTAAGGGCTGATAGACTCAATTTAGGTTAAGAATTTAAGGACTGGTCTAACTGTAGGTGCATTAAAGGGGAGCAGTCAGGAGAAAGCTGGGGCCCCTAGAGAGATTCCCCCAGGATCAGTTGACAGGCTCCCTCACTTATCCATTCCCCCTGCCATTTTCCATGCCCACAATATCTACGTCGCACCCCTCCCAGTTAAGACAATCAACTCCGGCCTCTCTGAGGGATTTCTTCAGCTCTGCCAGACTGGGGCTCCTGTCTGATGACCCAGAGGAGCTTTATGAGAGGGAGAAGCTGCCTCTATCAAAAACTGGCAACCTGGGCTTCAATGTCCCGCCCCTCCAGAGCAGCGTTAAGGGGCCTTAGGGCTTGTCTACACTACCCTGCAGTGTGGACCATCAGGGGACTGAACAGCAGCGTGCCTCCAAGCGTTGCACAGTAACTCACCTGTTTGGATGCCGCAGGCGCAAACTAAAAGGTTCCTAGCTCGCGTTAATGTAACCCTGTTTGAAGAGAACTGTTCACGCGAACTAGGAACCTTTCAGTCCATGCCCACTGCAGCCACGAAGGGAAGTTACAGGGTACCGCTATGGTGTGCATTGCTATTCCTACCCATAGTCTGAACTGCGGGACAGTGTAGATGTATCATTAGTGTCCAGTAATTTAAGCATGAGCCTGCGCCGTGGGAGACCGCAGTCCAGTTCCTGCTCTGCCACAGACATCCAGGCTGACCTGGGTATGTCAGGTAGGGCCAGATGTGTAAAGGTTTTCACCTGCCTATCTGCATCTCTAGGCACCTAGAGTCTGGCCCTTAGTCTCTCTGTGCCTCAGTTCCCCATCTATAGCATGGGGGATAAAAGCCCTGCCCCATCTCAGAGGGGTGTGCGAGGATAAATACATTAAAGATTGCGAGGTGCTCAGATACTATGGGGATGGGCACCAGACACATACCAGAGAGAGTGAGAATAAGCATCAGACCTTCTGCTTTAAGAGCCTGATCCAAAGCCCACTGATGTCAATGGGGGAGTATTTGTATCAACTAGAAAAGGAGTACTTGTGGCACCTTAGAGACTAACCAATTTATTTGAGCATGAGCTTTCGTGAGCTACAGCTCACTTCATCGGATGCATACCGTGGAAACTGCAGCAGACTTTATATATACACAGAGAATATGAAACAATACCTCCTCCCACCCCACTGTCCTGCTGGTAATAGCTTATCTAAAGTGATCATCAGGTGGGCCATTTCCAGCACAAATCCAGGTTTTCTCACCCTCCACCCCCCCCACACAAATTCACTCTCCTGCTGGTGCTAGCCCATCCAAAGTGACAACTCTTTACATAATCAAGTCGGGCTATTTCCTGCACAAATCCAGGTTTTCTCACATCCCCCCCACCCCCATACACACACAAACTCACTCTCCTGCTGGTAATAGCTCATCCAAACTGACCACTCTCCAAGTTTAAATCCAAGTTAAACCAGAACATCGGGGGGGGGGGGGGAGGAAAAAACAAGAGGAAACAGGCTACCTTGCATAATGGTAGCCCTTGAGGAATTCCACCATGATTTCAACAATTTCCATCCCACCACCAACCTCAGCCTGGTCCAGTCCACACAAGAGATCCACTTCCTGGGCACTACAGTGCTAATAAACAATGGTCACATAAACACCACCCTATACCGGAAACCTACTGACCGCTATTCCTACCTGCATGCCTCCAGCTTTCATCCTGACCACACCACACGATCCATCGTCTACAGCCAAGCTCTGCGATACAACCGCATTTGCTCCAACCCCTCAGACAGAGACAAACACCTACAAGATCTCTGTCAAGCTTTCTTACAACTACAATACCCACCTGCAGAAGTAAAGAAACAGATTGATAGAGCCAGAAGAGTTCCCAGAAGTTACCTACTACAGGACAGGCCTAACAAAGAAAATAACAGAACGCCACTAGCGGTCACTTTCAGCCCCCAACTAAAACCCCTCCAATGCATTATTAAGGATCTACAACCTATCCTAAAGGATGACCCAACACTCTCACAAGTCTTGGGAGACAGGCCAGTCCTTGCCTACAGACAGCCCCGCAACCTGAAGCAAATACTCACCAACAACCACATACCACACAACAGAACCACTAACCCAGGAACTTATCCTTGCAACAAAGCCCGTTGCCAATTGTGCCCACATATCTATTCAGGGGACACCATCACAGGGCCTAATAACATCAGCCACACTATCAGAGGCTCGTTCACCTGCACATCCACCAATGTGATATATGCCATCATGTGCCAGCAATGCCCCTCTGCCATGTACATTGGTCAAACTGGACAGTCTCTACGTAAAAGAATAAATGGACACAAATCAGATGTCAAGAATTATAACATTCATAAACCAGTCGGAGAACACTTCAATCTCTCTGGTCACGCAATCACAGACATGAAGGTCGCTATCTTAAAACAAAAAAACTTCAAATCCAGACTCCAGCGAGAAACTGCTGAATTGGAATTCATTTGCAAATTGGATACTATTAATTTAGGCTTAAATAGAGACTGGGAGTGGCTAAGTCATTATGCAAGGTAGCCTGTTTCCTCTTGTTTTTTCCTCCCCCCCCCCCCCCGATGTTCTGGTTTAACTTGGATTTAAACTTGGAGAGTGGTCAGTTTGGATGAGCTATTACCAGCAGGAGAGTGAGTTTGTGTGTGTATGGGGGTGGGGGGGGATGTGAGAAAACCTGGATTTGTGCAGGAAATAGCCCGACTTGATTATGTAAAGAGTTGTCACTTTGGATGGGCTAGCACCAGCAGGAGAGTGAATTTGTGTGGGGGGGGTGGAAGGTGAGAAAACCTGGATTTGTGCTGGAAATGGCCCACCTGTTGATCACTTTAGATAAGCTATTACCAGCAGGACAGTGGGGTGGGAGGAGGTATTGTTTCATATTCTCTGTGTATATATAAAGTCTGCTGCAGTTTCCACGGTATGCATCCGATGAAGTGAGCTGTAGCTCACGAAAGCTTATGCTCAAATAAATTGGTTAGTCTCTAAGGTGCCACAAGTACTCCTTTTCTTTTTGCGAATACAGACTAACACGGCTGTTACTCTGAAACCTTTGTATCAACTGTAATTGAGTTTGGATCAGACCTTAAGAGCACAAGATATGTATAAAATATGTTCGTACTAAAGAGTGTGGGATAAACTGGGTGAAAGGACTGTCAAAGCTATGTGTTAATGGACATTAAGAAGGAGAGAAGGACCCAGTTATATCTGCAAACTATTTTATAAGAACAGGTTTCAGAGTAACAGCCGTGTTAGTCTGTATTCGCAAAAAGAAAAGGAGGACTTGTGGCACCTTAGAGACTAACCAATTTATTTGAGCATAAGCTTTCATGAGCTACAGCTCCGATGAAGTGAGCTGTAGCTCACGAAAGCTCATGCTCAAATAAATTGGTTAGTCTCTAAGGTGCCACAAGTCCTCCTTTTCTTTTATAAGAAGTAATTTGTATCTGGTTTCAGAGGGGTAGCCGTGTTAGCCTGTATCAGCAAAAACAACAAGGAGTCCTTGTGGCACCTTCGAGATTAACAAATTTCGTGGCTAACACCCATGAAAGCTTATGACCAAATAAATTTGTTAGTCTCTAAGGTGCCACAAGGACTCCTCGTTGTTTTTTTTTTAAATTTGTATCTGTGATACAGGATTATAGAACAAGCAATGATTACTTTGACAAGGATAAGTTTTGGCCCCAAACCTAAAACTTGTACAGGGAGCCAACTGCAGGATCGGGGCAATGGAGGTGCTTAATTTTTGGCAACACTGATCATGGGTGCCAAGAGAGAGGCGATATCTGAGACTTCTTGGGCCAATCCCACTGAGGGTTTCGAATATCAGGACAGGGACCTTGAACTCTGTGTCTTCAATGGGGAGCCAATGCAGAGAGGGGAGCACAGGGCAAAGTGTCCATGGGCACCTGTGATGTTCAGCAGATGGACTGTGCCCAACGGAGCTTGTTTGGGGTGCATGGTTTCATTCTGAAATGCAATTATTTTCTGATATTACAGGACATTGTGTCTCTTGTTTATGGAAGACTGGAGATATGTTTGAACTACCATTGCATCTCACTGCCACGCAGAGAGTATACTTAATCTGTAGGGTCAAGTTTTTATGCAAAGGCAATCCAGTAACAAGAAATGCTTTTGAACATTTCTGTGCTCCCAACCATCACCCTACAAGTAATCCTTCCATGATGGCTTCCTAATAGATGTTTAGATTCCAGCACCTTCTTACACCGGAGTTCTGCCCCTCAGCTCTGCACATGCAGATCACCAAAAAGTAGAATAACCTACACAAGTCAAGGGCTCAAACCTGTTGCTCTACCGGGATAATGCCACCCTCAAAAAGTATGTTACGCCAACTAGGCATGTCTACCACACCTGTGTGCTTGAAGAGTCCCATCCCAAACTGGGAAGCAGTTTGACTAGAGGTGGGAGGTGTTGGCCCTGCAGTTCTCACTAGTTATCATAGCCTACTATCTGAAAAGGGCGTATTGGGAATGAATTTATTGAGTGCAATTTATTCCATACCTTATCTCCAATAAATAAGCATGCATGAGCCATGCATGTTGTCAACACAGATCTTGTATGTCTACTTTGTGGCCATTGTGGTTGGCTACCTGTGAGACTTTATACACCATTTTTAGCTCGCTCAAGGAAGCGAATACAAGTATTCTAGCCCTCAGGGATAGCGTGTGGGTTTGGTGCAATTCCCTGCAAGAGTTTGGGGCAAATTCATAAAGTGGAGGTGTGAAAGAGGCGTTAGTTGAATTCACAGTGGTAAATCTGACATGAGATTCAGAGGCAAGAATATGCAAATTAGATTGTGTCCCCACAATTCATGTGTGTGGGGAGGTAATCTTTCCATTCACAGATTGCGCCAGTGTCAGGGAAGGGATGTCAGCTGCCTGTGTAGTAGCCCCCCATCCCAACCCTTCCACACTCTGCAGCATTTTATGGAGTAAAGAAAAATATTGTACATGTAAAGGTGGTAGAGGGGATTTCAGGAGATAGAATGTTAGTACCTAAATTTAAATTAGGCTAAGACAGTAGAAATGCCAATCCCCCTCTTTTCAGGCTGGACCAGAAGTACTGTGCAAACTGGAGAAGTAATCCGAAATGCTGTTCCCATGAGATTGCCAATCCAGTTTTGCAGACCCACGAGGTTCTGATAGATTGTATAAGCATCTGAACTTTTGGGTGCTCATCCAACCCAAACATGTGAACCTGGTGAGGTTCAGCCATTGCTCCTATGGTTTGGGGAGCTTTTCACAAGCCAATACCCTGAGACATGGGACATTGTAGGAGAATCTCCTCCCGCCTCGAAAAGTGAAGAGTAAAATACAAGAACTCAAGGAAATGCCTGTCTTTTACACCAACACAACTAAAGTCTTCGTTCTTTCAATAGTATATATAGTAGACAAATGCAGCAGATTCAACAGTGTCACAGTTCCAAGCAGGTGTCACTGCAGTCACCAAGAACTGCTGTAGGGATTTGAGAGGGTTGTAACTTCAAAAAGTTACAATGAAAAATAACCAACTCAGTTTGAGCAGCGGCCTCAGGTCAAATCTGGCCCCCAAATTAAGATTTTGTTAAAGGTTTTGCAAAAGCTGAAGCCAGTAGAGATGTGTCCAGTTTGTTTATTTTACTGCAATGGAAACAGCTTTTCACAAATCCAAAAATGTTCCCAGGCAGTGTTTGCATCCTGAACTTCCAGTAATGTGTTATTAAAGTGAGTGGGAGCTTTGCAATCAAGTCCATAGTGTATGAAAACCTGAAAGCGAAATTTACTATTCAAAAGTAAAACGGACTAGGTCAGTTGTCATTTTCTATTTCAGAGACATACAAAAAGTAAATAAACAGCATAAATGATAAAAAAATCATTTTACCATTCAATTTTAATAATCTAAGGTGTTACTAATAACATTGTTTAAGTATATATGGACAAGACCTTCTGCTCGAGTTAACTGGTATCTCCACTGAAGAGATGGCCTCAGAATCCAGCCCTATATATTTAATTATTATATGAATGATGAACCTGATAGCGTCCCTTTAAATCCTAAAACAAAATTAGAATGATGGGAAAGATTTAAGTCCCCTTCTGTAGGCTGCTGTCACAGATTATATAGCTCTTCCAATGAAGATTCAAAAGTTATGTAATATATTTATTTGTCCAGTCAGAATAGGATTCAGTATTGAAACCCATTTTAAAATCACCCTTTCAGTTTGCAAAGCAAAGACACATGACAAAACATCAGATCTGCAGCTGGATCTGCAGCTGGAGAAATGTTATAATTAACAAACTCATGCAGAGGTAGTTTTTCAATCAACAAATCTGAATACATTGGGGATCTCCAGTGCCAGTAATGTAAATATAAATTACCCTAGAAAACTTCAACTTACATACAGCAGGGGGAGGGGCAATTCCCATTTTGTTACTCATGTCAATGTTGTTTTTCAGCCCAAAGATGCATACTACAATACAGTAATTAGAAACTATTCCTATTCTAATTGCTCAACAATGAGCCCAGATCTGTTAATCCTTCCCGTAAAGAGCAGCATTGACCGTAGTGTTTTCTATGTACTAGCTAATTCATTACAATACCCTATCATCTAGCGCTCTTAGCTACCAGATACAGATATAATTGGTGATATATTATGAATCACAGAATCCTAGAAATTAGAAATTGTTAAAGGCATGTGCGGAACCTCGTCCATCCTGTTGCACCATGAAAGATTACTTTTCCGATCCAGACATTACAGCATATTTTCCAGTGTTTTGTCCCATTATAGATGACACTAATAGGCTTTCCACAACTTCCTTTTGGAGACTATTCCACAACTCAACACAGCTTCCTGTTTTTCCTGATATTCAGCCTAAATTTTACTTTAATGTCCATCCCATTATTCCTACTTTATAAATTGCTTGAACTAGACTAAATAAATTCTTCCTTAGTGTTTCCATCCTTCTGATATTTCTAAATGGTGAGCGCATCCCCATCAGTCCACACAGTTCTAACAATGCATTATTTAAAGTTGTTCTTTTAACAGTCATTCTTTTCTCCAGCGGTAATCACTGCCACCTCTTAATCAGTGACTCATTTCTCTTTGTAAATTAGGGCCACATTCATCCCTGGTGTAACTCAGCTGACTTCAGTGCAGTTACCACTGATTTGCATTGCTACTATTGTTGTCATCAATATATTTGAGGCAATAGGGCCTCCAGCTACAAGTGTAGGCTTCTATTGCCCAATTTCTACACCAACCAGCTTTTCCTGGCCCATAGCCATCCCCTGCCCTGGGATTTTGGAGGGTCTGTACTGGGGTCACATACAGCTTTCAATCACTACCTTATTCTGGACCAGTCAAGTCTGCATCTTCCCATTTACAAATGTCAGTGTCAAACCCATTGCTCAAAAGAGCTGCATCCTGCTGTCACATCCACCCACTCCCACCCCCTGCACACGTTGCTCAGTTGAAATTTGGTCATTTATGTTTGATCACGGCTACATCTCATCCTGTGTCTTTCTGTCAGAGACTTGTCACCTGGGCAGGCTCTGAGTTAGAGATCAGAAATCTGGACTCCTGCAACCTGCAATAGTGGTGCGTATGTCATGACTGGAGCTGGCAGGAACATCCACAACTAGGATACAAATAATAAATAATAATAATACCTCATATCCCGTGATGGCTATTTGATGCATGGAATCATTCACTGACTTGATGATATCAAGCATTGTGGCCAGCGCCTCTTCCAGTTCAGCGGTGCCTTCAGAATTCTTGCTGCATTTCAGCATTTCCTATTTAAACAATGAAGACAGCCATATCAAGGAACATCTCAAAAGTCCATATCCTTGATCAGAGAGCTATGACAAGACCACTTCACATGCTGAACACACAGAGGAGTGCAGTTATAGGAGTGGCAGGAGAGTCTCTTTAACGATCATTGGAAATAGACCTTTTAAGCTTTTGGACATTTGTAAGTTTCATGGATTCATTTATGACCAAACAGGGCCATTGTGATCATCTAATCTGATCTCCGGCTTCAACACAAATCATAGAATTTCACTAAGTGGTTCCTGCATCAAGCCTATAACTTCTGACTGAGCTAGAGCATTTCTTTTAGAGAGACACCCAGTCTTTATTTAAAGACTGCAGGCGATGGGGAATCCACCATATCCCTAGGTAGACTGTTCCAATTATTACCCTCACTGTGAAAAACATGCATCTAATCTTTAGTTTGAATTTGTCTAGTGTCAGCTTCCAGACACTGGATCTTGCCTTTGTCTGCTACATTAAGGAACTCTCTCTATTATCAGTAATCGCTTCCATCAATGTATTTGCAGACCATGACCAAATCATCTCTCAATCTTTTTCTTGATAAACTAAGGCCTGGTCTACACTAGGGGTGGGAGGGCAAGCTAAGTTGGTCTAAGTTACGTAACTTCAGCTATGAAAATAGCATAGCTGAAGTCGACGTACTTAGACCTACTTACCACGGTGTCTTCACTGCAATAGGTCGACTGCTGCCACTCCCCCGTCGACTCCATCTACGCTTCTCACTCCGGTGGAGTACCGGAGTCGACGGGAGAGTGCTTGTTGGTTGATTTATCGTGTCTTCACTAGACACTAGACGTGATAAATCGACCCCCAGTGGATCGATCACTCCGGAGGTAAGTGTAGACATGCCCTAAGTAGGTTGAGCTTCATTAGTCTCTAACTAGAAGGCTAGTTTTCCAGACACTGAATTTTTAGGAGGAGCAGGGAAGATGCAGAGAAATCTTCCAGCTCACTTAAACCCTACCTCCACCCCAACTATTGACCAACCCACATATGAAAATTTGAAATGTCTGTTTAAAGGATGATCACTTCAAAAGGACAACGTTAATCTCCAATCAAAAATGCATTAAAATTGTACTTTAAAAATGGGCTCATTCTCTGAGATAAGTGATCTCCCCTCTGTATGTCCCCAGCATGGGGAATGAGGGGCAAAGTCCTAGGCCTGCTGGGGAACAGGTGGCCAAAAGTCAGGAAAACGAAATTTAATTAAAAGGCCAAAATGCGCAGTCTCACCATGTATGGATCTTCTGCTTTGGACCCCAAATATCCAGAGTACACATTGCTCACTGGGTCCCATAGAAGCACCTCTCCTCACTCCTGTCTTTCATTCTCTAGTCACTGGTTATCCCTGAAGAGTTCTAAGGAAAGTTTGGGCCTCAATTCTCTTCTCACTTATTTACTACAGTTACATCTCTGTAAAAGCTGAGAGGAGAATCAGGCCTTTTGATTTTAAATTGAGCCTTCTCCCATATCGACTCTTGGCTCTTGTACGTTGTGGAATCTGTAACTGTGAGACTGCCATCATTGATTCCAGTTTTGCACCACTGCAACTCCATTGCAATTAATGGAGTTACTCCTGATTTACACTCATCTGAGATCAGAATCAGGCCCTCTCTGTCTTCACTCAAAGTGCCTAAGAAAGAAAAAGTCGAATACATCGAGCATTTAAAAAGATTTTTTTTTAAATTGGCAGGGTCAATACTGACTTGAAGCTCAAAGGTGCTGGAGGCTCTTAACTCCACTGAGGGTCCGCAGCAGCCACTCAGCAGCCCATAGGATTGAGCTGATAAAGCATAATTGTTGTATCTTATGTTGCTTGGGGGATTCACCTATTAACCTGTTGGGTTCCAGGAATATGTTTTTTGGTTAGCAAGTGATGAGACAAAAGTTTCAGTGACTCACCTTAGTTCTAGTGACCCACAACAAGCTTAGGCAGGTGCTTGTCTGGTAAGTATTCACTGGTCTTTATGAATGTATTTTCACTATGACATGAGCACTTGGTTGGGTAACTGTAGGCTTCATTTCAGAAGCACAAACAGCACGGCTACACAATGGAATGTCTGCACTAAATATTATAACAGTAAACAAACGGCACTTCCAATGAGTTCATCCAACCTGCCAACTATAAAGTCAGCAAGAGTACAGTCCATGCTGTATCTACTAAAGCAAATGGGAATAAGGCTGAGAGCTGACATGCCACTGGGAAGTCCCCCTTCCAAAACCATGCCCTCATTGTTACTTCTGAAAATCCGCCCCCTCTCTGCTCATTTGTGTTTACTAAGTAGGAGACAGACACCTTCACCACAGCTGTGTGAACCTTCACCCGGTTTAGTTACAAACCTAAAATTCAGGCCAGACTTGTGAACCTTTTGCCAAAACAGGGTCCAATTTCAGCCAAGCTGGGCCAAGTCTCAGGTGAGCAGAAGTCAAGTTGTGTGTAATATGGAGCTACCTTTTAGGTGGAAACCACACAACAGTCAGTTGTTTCACCTAGTTTTGATTCAAAATTTGGCAAAGATAAGCCACAGGTGCAAAGGCTTGAACTGGAATCCCCCTCTGTGGTTTTGGTTCAGGCTCATGTCTACTTTCCAAACTGGAGCAAAATGCAGCTGAAATTGTTCAAACCCAGAAACTCCAAGTGAAAAGGAAACTGAAGAAAGGGATTCACACAAATTCCAACAATTCCGACATCATATGGCGCTGCCTTTAAATACGTGGCTGTCCATGCCTCAGAGGGAAAGAGCAAGATGCACTTTGTGTTACCTGTTGTGGAATCCCTACTATTATGAGCAATCTCTACGACCATCATCTCGTTAGGAGGCTGCCATTTAAAACTAGCTAAACTGACTGAAACCAAATCGAGTTTTAAAAAAACCCCCGTGATCCAGGAGCTAAAAGCTGATCTGCCCATTGGTCACCAAGACTTGCTTCCTATGCATTGCCTCTTCCTTACTATCCATTTCTAATTGTGAAAGGTTCTCCGGAATCACCCTCCTGCCCTACTTCCCCACCCTCAGAGAAGCTCCTTTCCAAAGGGGCTTAGCATGCTGCTTCTATGGAGCACTCAGAATTCTTTTTGTGTTTAGCGTCCTTCCAAATATACTGTGAGGTGTGTACAGAACTGGTCTGACCTGATTTGATCCCAATGGCTGTGCCTGTTCTGTTTGAGAACTGTACCTCTTGATCTAATCTCACTTTTGCTTACTGGCACATTTCAAATTAAAAAGAGAGCACAGTTTCTTCTTCTTCTACTGGAGACCTTGAACATTTCTTTTAAATTCTCTCCCTCCCTTTTACTATTACAGTTCCTGGAAACACCTGAGTCAAATTTACTGCTGGAATAAGCCGGTACAACTCTATGAGAGTCAATGAAGTTGCACCACAGTGCAATCTGGCCCACTTACTGTACAGAGGGTTCTTCATTCTACGTATCCTAGGGTTTCCTAGATAGCCCATTACCTTGACAGTTAGATGCTGCACAGGTAAATGATTGGCCAGATATTCAGATGACATAAACTGGTATCACTTCATTGACTTCAATGGAGCTATGTCCGTTTGGACCAACTGAGACCCTGCTCTAGGTAGTATACGAAATTCCATAGTGGACTTCATAACACTAATTAGCATTTTTTGTAGTTAAAATGCTTCATAACATCAACCAATTAACCCTCAAAACACCCTGGTAAAGGAGGTGAGAAAATATTATCCCCATTTTAGAGATGAAGTGATGGAAACAGAAATTAAGACCAAAATTTTCAAAAGGGGACACTGGTCTTGGAGCTTCAACTTTGGACCTGAATTTCAAACGTGCTAAGTACCCACAACTTCAGCTGTTGTCAAATGCGAGCTGCAGATGTTTACCACGTCTGATAATTAGGGCCAATCTGCCCCAAGTTGGGCCCTGAAAAAGGGAAAACACCCAAAACGACGTCCTTTTGGGAATTTTGGTTGGAGTAATTTATTCACAGAGAGGAAGTTCAGTAAGTGTGAAATCCTGACCGCACTGAAGTCAAAGGGAGTTTGGCCCCTGATTAGAACACAGCTTGCTGTGAAGGCCGGCACTCAGGTGGCTAGACCTTACTTCTCTCCAATTAAAGGCTCCTGTAAACTCTAATTAAAGAACTAGATCATTTCTATTCTGTTGTGAAAAACTGAAAAGTGACCTTATTGTTTATAGTGAAACAGTGCTGAATCCAGAACCGTGCTGCACTATGTACGCTCCAGTCTTCAGTGGTCTTCAGTGCCTGTTTTAGGGCATGATCCTATAAAGTACCTTTAACTGTCTCTGACTTTAGTGAGAGTTGACAGCATGTGGACCTCCCAAGATCAGGCTCTTATTTTGGTTCAACCAAGAGTCCTTACATTGACTATGCTTGTTCATCTACCTGGTCAACTTAACATTGCAAAAGTATTTATTTAAGCTGTCGCCTTTAAGTGGGCACTGCTGTGTAATTCCTTAACCAAAACAGACAACCAATAGGCGTGTTAAAGTGCAGCAACAATCAATTGCCTTGTCACAGAGAATGTCCTTTAGTTTTATTTACCTTTAAAAGCAACTGGTACTTTGTGATCCTCTGGACTGGCTTTAAGAGATAAGCATCGAGTGAAAGTTTATGGTCCAGTTTACGTTGGCATTCCTGTAAGAGACAAAAGAGGAGGAAATCATACTACAACTCTAAGAAATAGAACAGGGGTACAAAGCCTGGAACTAAGGTTTAAGATAATTTGAGATTGAATCTGTTGATTCAACAAGACATATATTCTGTTCCTTGCACACCAGATTTCACTAGCCAATTTACAAAGGGACTTTCCCAGCTGTTTTGTGTACAATACAAACATCTCTGAATGAGAGCCAAGGTCTGGATTCAGACTAGATGATGCTGAAATCCTGCAAGATCTTCTTGCGAGATTTCAATCAACCTGGTTCTGTGAAAAAGGTCCCTTCTGGTACTAGGTCTGACCTGGAACCAAAACCGAAGAGACAGGTTCATATCCAGGCATTCCATCTACCAGTCTATTGAGTCTCTGAGACACTATTAATTGACATGGATGCCAAGTGCCTCCCAGAATTATAAGATGTATACATAGATATATTTTCCTCTATAACTTTTTTTAATGTACATGTATACAGAAACTTTCTAAAGAGAGATGGATGGGAAAAGGAGTTCCAACAGATTTACATTGCCAGTCTGTAACTAAACTCTACCTGAAAGAAGAGGCTATCTCCACATTGTCTCCAGAGGGCTTCAGATCTTAGCTTGTTCTGACAGTATTTTTCATATACTTGGAGATCCTCTTTCTGCAACAAAAAGAAAAGTTTACATAACTCAGGAGGAAACAGTTCATTGAATGTTGATCATTAACCAGATCTCCTCTACATCTTCTATTCCAAATACATAAGATCGAACCAGTTCCTGGTAATAAGTCTCTATGGAAAAACCTATTGTATAAACTATTTTTACTCTTTCAGATTTCATTACACTAGCAAGGTTAGCTTGGATGGATTGCTTGGGATAAGGAAGCTACAGCGTGGGGGATGGGCGCATGATTGGACATGATGGGCGCATGATTGGACAAATGACCAGGGAAGAGTATAAAAATATTGCTTGGACATGCAGGAGTGAAATCAGGAAGGCCAAATCACACCTGGAGGTGCAGCTAGCAAGAGATGTTAAGAGAAACAAGAAGGGTTTCTTCAGGTATGTTAGCAACAAGAAGAAAGTCAAGCAACAAGAAGAAAGTCAAGCCCCTTACTGAATGAGGGAGGCAACCTAGTGACAGAGAATGTGGAAAAAGCTAACGTACTCAATGCTTTTTTTGCCTCTGTCTTCACGAACAAGGTCAGCTCCCAGACTACTGCACTGGGCAGCACAGCATGGGGAGGAGATGACCAGCCCTCTGTGAAGAAAGAAGTGGTTCAGGACTATTTAGAAAAGCTGGACGAGCACAAGTCATAGAATCATAGAATATCAGGGTTGGAAGGGACCTCAGGAGGTCATCTAGTCCAACCCCCTGCTCAAAGCAGGACCAATTCCCAATTAAATCATCCCAGCCAGGGCTTTGTCAAGCCTGACCTTAAAAACCTCTAAGGAAGGAGATTCTACCACCTCCCTAGGTAACGCATTCCAGTGTTTCACCACCCTCCTAGTGAAAAAGTTTTTCCTAATATCCAACCTAAACCTCCCCCACTGCAACTTGAGACCATTACTCCTTGTCCTGTCCTCTTCTACCACTGAGAATAGTCTAGAACCATCCTCTCTGGAACCACCTCTCAGGTAGTTGAAAGCAGCTATCAAATCCCCCCTCATTCTTCTCTTCTGCAGACTAAACAATCCCAGTTCCCTCAGCCTCTCCTCATAAGTCATGTGTTCCAGACCCCTAATCATTTTTGTTGCCCTTCACTGGACTCTCCAATTTATCCATATCCTTCTTGTAGTGTGGGCCCAAAACTGGACACAGTACTCCAGATGAGGCCTCACCAATGTCGAATAGAGGAGAACGATCACGTCCCTCGATCTGCTTGCTATGCCCCTACTTATACATCCCAAAATGCCATTGGCCTTCTTGGCAACAAGGGCACACTGCTGACTCATATCCAGCTTCTCGTCCACTGTCACCCCTAGGTCCTTTTCCACAGAACTGCTGCCTAGCCATTCGGTCCCTAGTCTGTAGCTGTGCATGGGGTTCTTCCGTCCTAAGTGCAGGACTCTGCACTTATCCTTATTGAACCTCATCAGATTTCTTTTGGCCCAATCCTCCAATTTGTCTAGGTCCCTCTGTATCCTATCCCTGCCCTCCAGCGTATCTACCACTCCTCCCAGTTTAGTGTCATCTGCAAATTTGCTGAGGGTGCAATCCACACCATCCTCCAGATCATTTATGAAGATATTGAACAAAACCGGCCCCAGGACCGACCCCTGGGGCACTCCACTTGACACCGGCTGCCAACTAGACAGCCATTGATCACTACCCGTTGAGCCCGACAATCTAGCCAACTTTCTACCCACCTCATAGTGCATTCATCCAGCCCATACTTCTTTAACTTGCTGACAAGAATACTGTGGGAGACCGTGTCAAAAGCTTTGCTAAAGTCAAGAAACAATACATCCACTGCTTTCCCTTCATCCACAGAACCAGTAATCTCATCATAGAAGGCAATTAGATTAGTCAGGCATGACCTTCCCTTGGTGAATCCATGCTGACTGTTCCTGATCACTTTCCTCTCATGTAAGTGCTTCAGGATTGATTCTTTGAGGACCTGCTCCATGATTTTTCTGGGGACTGAGGTGAGGCTGACTGGCCTGTAGTTCCCAGGATCCTCCTTCTTCCCTTTTTTAAAGATTGGCAGTACATTAGCCTTTTTCCAGTCATCTGGGACTTCCCCCGTTCGCCATGAGTTTTCAAAGATAATGGCCAATGGCTCTGAAATCACAGCCGCCAATTCCTTTAGCACTCTCGGATGCAACTCATCCGGCCCCATGGACTCGTGCACGTCCAGCTTTTCTAAATAGTCCCTAACCACCTCTTTCTCCACAGAGGGCTGGCCATCTACTCCCCATGCTGTGATGCCCAGCACAGCAGTCCGGAAGCTGACCCATGCCCTGACCCCACTCCCTGGCAGCAGAGCAGGGCAGGAAGAGGCGGGGTGGAGCAGGGGCGGGAAGAAGAGAAGCGGGGGCAGGGACTTGGGGGAAGGGGTGGAGTGGGGGCGGGGCCGCAGGCGGAAGGGTTGGAGCGGGGCCCCAAGGCCAGAGGAAACTTTAATCCGCAGCTCCGCCTCTGTCTCTAACAGAAGCTTGGAGCCTGCAGAGCTCTGCATTATTATCGTGAGCATTGCAAGCACAGGACACACAATCCTGCAGTATTTGCAGGCTGCAAGAAACCCCAGATCAGTGGGGAACATGATGATTTCCTGGAGGGCAGATTACTGTGGGACACAGTGAGAACCACTATGAAGTTGTTAGTGGTGCTCACAGAGCAGCTGCAAATGGGCCACTTCTGGACCCAAGAACAAGCACTGACAGATGGGACCACATCGTAACGCAGGCTTGGGATGATGAGCAGTGGCCAAGGAACTTTCAGATGGACAAGGCCACATTCCTGGATCTGTGTGCCAAGCTTGCTCCAGACAACCAGGGCAGGGACACCAAAATGAGAGCTGAACTGAAAGTGGAGAAGCAAGTGGTGATCACACCATGGACACCTGCAATGCTGGATTGCTACCTGTCAGTGGGAAATCATTTTGGAGTTGGAAAATCCACTGCGGGGGCAATTGTCATGCAAGTGTGCAGGGCCATTAATCATCTGCTGCTCTGAAGGACTGTAATTCTCAGCAACATGCAGGACAGGGTGGATGGATTTGCAGCAATGGAGTTCCCAAACTGCAGTGGAGCAATAGATGGCATGCACATCCCTATTTTGGCACCAGCGTACCTTCCCACAGAGTACATCCAACAGAAAGGACTACTTTTCTATGGTTATGCAAGCATCACTGCTCTATGGGATGGTGGTGAGGCCTCCTCTTAGTACGGCACATCACTTCTGATATGCCTGCCGCAGTTCCTTCACCTTCAAGCCGTACTGCCACTGATCCCTGTGACACCCCTTCTCCTGCATCTCCCGGGCAATCCGCTCGTAGATGTCCTCATTTCTATGGCTGGTCCGTAGCTGTGCTTGCAGAGCCTCACCTCTCCACAAGCCCAGGAGATTCAATATCTCCTGCCTACTCCAGGCCGGAGCGCGTCTGGAGTGTGCAACCGGCATGGCCGGCTGGGCAGTTGCACATAACCGTGGAGAGCTGCTAGGTGCTTGCCAAGATGGACAATCAGGAAAAGGTATTTCAAAAATTCACAGGGTTTTAAAGGTGGGGGGTCTTCTGGTCTCCCTGACCACTAGCCAGTGGAGTTCATAACTGTGACCATAGCAGTCAGTACAGGGCACTGTAGGACAACTGCTGGAGGACTGTTAGGGTCAACATAGGTCACTCATTGTCTACATCCATGCTGCATTGACCTCAGAACATGGACCATAGCTCCATGCCGCTCGGGGAGGTGCTGTTACTATGTCAGTGTAATGGCGAGCCATGGTCCATTGATGGCCGACAAATTTAAGTGTAGACCATGCACAACTAAGTCAATGCAAGGCGGGTTCCATCAACCTCACTTTGTAGCATAGACAGAGGCAGAAGCAGGAGTAAAATGCAGGAATTCCTGGCTCTCTGTCCTGTACTTAGTCCACTAGACAATGCTGCCTCTTTGGGGTTGGCAAGGAATGTCTCTCCAAGGAATAGTTTTTGGCAGGGATGTTGTGGGATTGTCACCTTTTAAGCTGGGATCACCCATTAGGCTCAGATACAAAGGGGATGGGAGAGGACTGGGGAAGGCCAATGCCACCCTTCTCTACATTTCTACGATTATGCAATTGCAACCAAAGCAATATTAGCGGTGCAATTTCAAAGTGAGGTGCAAACTTGCCTTTGCCTGAACAGGATTGTTTATGTATGTTGCCAGGGAGGGAAAGCGGCAGTGGGGAGAGAACACAGAACTGAAAGGAATCAGAAACGGTAATCAAGCGTGACTGCTTGCCCTTTGCCTAAAGAAAACAGATACGCTTCAGTAAGGGAGATGGTGATGGTCAATTCAAAAGCAGCAGCAGAGGGACAAACAAAACAAAACAAAACTGTGTTCAAACTGGAGAAAGAAGGGAAAGCAATCATTAACCTACCAGTCACTCACCCTGATGTAGCAGCCCTCTGTGTAAACATCATACACAGCGCTGCACAAATCAAGGGGACACGAGCTCAGACAAACGTTCAGTGTCCTTAAAACTAGCCTTTCATAGAATCATAGAATATCAGGATTGGAAGGGACCTCAGGAGGTCATCTAGTCCAACCCCCTGCTCAAAGCAGGGCCAGTCCCCCCAATTTTTGCCCCAGATCCCTAAATGGCCCCCTCAAGGATTGAACTCACAACCCTGGGTTTAGCAGGCCAATGCTCAAACCACTGAGCTATCCCTCCCCCAATGCCTTTCATTATGGCAAGGACTGAGAGTCGCATAGTCAGAAACGGAATTCCACAGGGGAATAATCAGGGCTGGGCTATCGATTCAGAGTCAGATCTTGAGCATCTCAAAGTTCAGGAATGTTCAGCTCCAGGGTTTCCAACTCTAGATCTGCCTATATATTTACATCATGGTCACCACTGTTGTATCTATAAGCCTTTGCTCTTCTATGGTGCTTCCTATCCAAGGATTTCAACGTGCTTTACAAATATTCTTTAGATTTAATGTGTTCAGGGCAC